GCCCATGATCATTGTCAGTGTTCTTTTGAATATTTCAATTCATACAAAACCCATCTTCGGCTAGGCTGGCTACTGTATGATGTGTCAGGAAAATATGTGCGCCTTACTAGTACCCTCTAGAATATTCCAAACATATGCGTAAAATACACTTAGAACAAAAGTAATACTAAGTAAGGGAGGTAAGAGTAAAGTTTTTAGTCTGACTTTAATGAATAAATTAATAAGAATCGAGTGAGTGAGTGAGTGAGTGAATAAGTGTAGTATAGTATATCTTTATTGCGCCTTACTCTCCAAAGGGAGGCATCGGTCTAGTCACAATAAAGATGTTTACAACTACAGCAAATTTAAAAAAGAAAGAATTATGAACGGAAACAACAAAATTATACAGCATATACCATTCCGATATGACTACGTCATCCATGAGCTAAAAACCGGATGTCCTTTTTTGATGGCCAAAAGAAAGCACTGAAGAAAACCGGAAAATTTATTTTCCCGTGACATCATATTAATGAGAATAGTTAGGCACTAAGTTATTACAAGTGTCATTCACTACAAACTGTGACCTTGAAGAAGATTCTTACTCAGCGTTTTCGTCACAACCATAAGGATGCAGGCTTCCAGAGCTGAACCCAACAATGGACATCCTTATGATCACCTACAGTTTTTCACTATCCAGTCTTCACCGTCCGAAGACCCAGCAGGAAACCAAATTTACCATGAAAACGATGAAAGAAGACGACAACAACCTACGAAAAATATTGCTATAAGTCGTCATGTCTTATCCGCTATGATAGCTGTTCTGGCCTTATCCTTCTTGACAATGGTTGCTACATTGATTTTAACTATAAGGATGATGCCCACAGGAGCAAGTGAAACTAAAGGTAATTTTTAGATACTAATTTGAAGTGATTTTATGTAACTCTGGCAGGCTCAAAGTTTGAAAATTAGATTCGAGGTTTACCCTTATACCACGGTACCTCGATTCCGCTGATTCTTGGTGTGTAGTCTTAAAATGGTGTCCTAAAACTGAATTGATATTGATTTATTCGATTTGAATTCTCTTATCTTTACTTTGAAAGATATCAAGAGGAGTCTTCGAGGAACCGTAGTACTCCCTATTAAGGCATTAATTCAGGGGCACCCAACGAGGATATAGTTCAAAACCACTTAACATAGCATTTTTGAACGTATTTTAGTATTTAAACGGTAGATATAGGCATATTTTTATCCCCTAAAAACTTTTCATCTGTTCGGATTTCCTAGCTGAAAGTCTAGTGATCCTAAAATGATAGGTATCAAAACTTAGGCTTCCGAAAATTCTAGGTGGCCTTTTTTAGGGTAAAAATCCGTTAAAAAAGAGTAATTATACCATTTTGTATATGTTCGAAAATCCTAGGAGAGGCAGGCAAGCAAGAAATTTCACAACAAATGTTCCGAAAATTCTAGATTTCAAATCGTCTTCCGAACAGATATTTTCTGAAAATTGCTGTTGGATGCCCCTGTTAATTGAGGCTTATTCGCTGAAAATAATCTAATCATTACTGATACAGCTGGAAAAGACTATCCTGCACTTCTGATCTACTAACATTAGCCTGAAAACAGTTAAGTCTATGATACGAACGACTTAAACGCCAAACAGCATATTTTAGGTACTTAGAATGTATCACCCAATGTAAGGTAATCCGGATTCTGGAATCCGGGAAATTTTTGCGTTTGGAATCCGAAATAGGAATTCATAGCGGATAAGGAAGCGTAATTGGTAATTGAGAGCTTGCTCGCAGGCTATGTACGTAATTGGCAATATAATTAACAAAACGAAATGGACAGCCATCAATGACACAGCCCCTTTTTTACGCTCTTCTCTCTTGCCGGTTTAAACTTCCCGCGTCCCTCCATAACTCGTTTGACCCTCAAGATAAGCATGAACCAGTTCTTCCTTAATTATACCAGGGTGTTTCCCCTGTAGCAAATCCAAAAAGTGCTTCTTCCTCTACCATACATGTTGGTATTAGAAGCTTCAATGTAAACTGATTATTTATCTGTTACACAGGCATGGCTGAGGAGATACAACAGTTGATCGAGTTAAGTCATAAAATAATAGCTTCGAAGGCAAATGAAACTGAAAGAGAACCTAGAGTGTTTGATAAAGGTAGGGTGAAGCCAACTTGCAGAAAGGAAAGAGTAGAGGTGTAACCAAACTGATCACTCCTTTTCCGAAACCATATTTATCTTGAAGAGAAAATTAACTTTATGTAGTAATAGTCATTGATATAGATTGCAAGTTCTATGAAGTTCTGTGAAGGCATGAGTGTCTTAATTGCTTGATACTAGGAGAACCCGAGGTGGTCCCGATACGTTTCATTAGAAAGGGGTTGTATCATGAGAATTCTACCCTACAATCATAGAAAAAAGTCTTGGGACAAGTTTGATCTTCTAACACTTTTTTACACACACACGCATCCCCCCCCCCCGAACACACACACACACACACACCAAACAAACAGTCGCTCGCGAATGCACCTAGACTTGCTCAGCCCCTCCCCCATACCTACAATGTGGGCCATTCTAAACCAACGCATGTTGGAAACGGTAGCATTGCTTGTTCAAACTTCAGTTGTAAAATATTTACACTAGAAATAGGTGGCTCGCAAACCCTCGAGGAAACTCAGTGTGCCACTCAAGTTAAACTTGCTTGACTTGGTTGGAGATATTTACTGAGCCTAGCTCGTGTTTCTGCATCGCGGGAGTTAGGAACCTTGGCTACGCGAGGGCCTTCCATTCTCTCTCCGCGGGGAGTAATTCATGACCTAACCTTATCGTCCTAAGGAGTTTTGGATACAATTGTAGAATTAAACTACTTACACTCGTTGATGCAAAAATGACCCCTCCTACCTCTAAACGTAAGCGTGCGGGAAGCGCAAGAAATTGAATTTGACTTAATTCTGATTGACCTGAATGATGGATAAGTTGCAGTGTTATTGGTCGTCTGTCGGTTATTGGCTGTGAGGACTCTAATTTCGATCCATCTTTTGTCACAGTTACAACGGTCGTTTTATTGTTAGTCAAATTTTCAGTTGTCCATTCACTCTACTGAAGCCAGTCTTGCTTGAGTCCGTTGATAAGTCGTTTTGAAGGTGCCGGTAACTTGTGACTACGATTCAGTCGCGCTTGTTCCCAGTTGGTAAATCAGCTTTTTAAAGTGAATCGTTGATAGCAGTCTGAGAAATACGTAAGGCAGGTCGTAGAGTCAGTGTCGATTTGGTGGTTCGTCTGTAACTGGTGTTCAACAATGTCATCATAGCCATAAACATCATGGCTTAACTGACAGATGAACAACAACATCACGACTTAATTGACCAGCCAGATCGATAAACTACGTCTATAACTAGAAATACGTGTATCGCAGAACTTCGAGAGGCTCAGGCTCATAAAATGACAGGGATGGGAGGGCGGGAGAGAATTGGTGAAATGTGTAGCTGAGGAGGGCGGGATTCAACACTGGCTCCAATATGACTAATATTGGAAGGTGAGATTTACTTAATCTCCTTTTGGTTGGAGTAAATTTGGACCCAGTTCTTTGGCTAAAAGGATCTTCTTTGATTTAAATGGGATTGCTGTTGTCGAGGAAAGGTAGCCAATGTTGCATTAGTCCCGTGTTCACCCCATTTGACCCTTTTACATGTGTAATTATAGTCAAAAGGAAATGGGTGTAATAGTGACTAACTGCATTCTAAAATTCAGTTGCATTTGCTTAATATTTGGGTTAGATGCCATCTCTAATAATAAGTGTAATTATAATTCACTATTTGTGAAGTGTGTCAGTAGTAGTGAGTGGATGAAATGGTAGGAGACTATGCTGCTGTGAAAACAACAACTAAATGTTGGTAATTGAAGGAAAAATATATTATATTGTTAAGTGAACTACAGCAATGAGAGTGTTTGCACTTGTTTTAGCTCATAATCACACTTGACAACTAATTGTTTTGTAAGTAACAGGAAGGTGTAAACATAATCACTGAAATAGAAATTACATGTAGCAATGTCTTAAGGGTGCAGTTCATGAGAATTATGAAAGTGATCATGACTATTGAACGCAAGAGTGAATTATGAAATGTCCACGTACAAGTCATGTTGAAGGTGATCAGTTTCTCAATTGCCAACATTCATGAGCTTGTTGAGACATGGTTGCCAGAGGCATAGGTTTTGAAATTCCTAAACTGATCATGACAGCCACATGTACACTTTCCTGACCAAATGAATTGACAATTTGTGCAGACAATGGCTTCTAAACTTCGGTCGAAACCTCGTGTACTGGACACAAATGACGTAAAACAAAACGCTTCTTTGTTGTCTGTTCAGGGAAAAATCTGCTTGGTATTGTTTCATGGTTTTTGTTCTTTTGTTTTACGTCATCTATGTCGGGTACATGAAGTAAATGACCAAACTCCCATCACAACCGGCCATCCTCTCCACCCATTTATTACATGAATTTATCGTGAATGTAAAGTGCAGAATGGATAGATCTTATAGGAAACCCTATATCTGCTTGTCGTTTAATTTCATGAAACAATATTCTGCCAATGGAACATGTTTAACTTCTGTGAGTATGTCTCGTCCCTCTGACTTCTTTGAAAGAGTTAAATTTTCCCTGACTCATATTGTCATACATGTCGCACACTAATATTCTGAGGAGATCGGAAATACACATGTTATTTTGATTTCTCAATCTCACAAGCTCATTTAAGTTTTACATCCCCTTATGACTACCACTCACTACAGTGTGTACTCACCCCACCCCTCCCCATCGAACGCACTCACCAAATTGGCAATTATTACTAGTATAAACCTATTGCTTTTTTTGCTCTTCTCGTTGCCGTCGCCGTCTCCGTCGTCGTTGCTCAAGCTCCCTATTGTTGTGATCTGGTAATTTTGCTACCATAGTAACGTGACGTCACACGTCTCCTCTCTATTTTAAGTAATTTTAAGGTCATCTTTCCTGAACAGCCAATAGGAACTGTGCTGAGCTATACAAAGCTGGCAAAACAATCAGCGGTGTGTACACAATCGACCCTGATGGTGAAGGTGCCTTTGATGTGTTCTGTGATCAAAAAACAACCGGAGGGGGGTGGACAGTGTTTCAGAAGAGACTGGACGGCTCGGTTTATTTCTACCGCTCCTGGGATGACTACAAAAATGGGTTCGGTGACCTGAATGGCGAGTTCTGGCTTGGATTGGACAAGATTTACCGCCTGACGGAAAAGAAACACAACCGCCTTCGAGTTGATCTGGAGGACTTTACATTCAGCACTGCTTACGCTGAATATGACATATTTGAAGTTACAAACGAAACGACTAAATACAAGCTCAGTCTAGGAATGTACTCAGGTATGGTGCTTGGAATGTATTTAATTTTGATGTTTAGTATTTTGTCTTCGTGTCTTAATTATTCGTTCAAAGCTTGTTTGTTGGCGGTTTCTTGACTTCTTGCAAACTTGAAAACTCTAGGAAGTTTCAAAAGGAGCTCAGTTACTTTTCCAAACGTAGCTCCCCTCTTGTACTTCAATACTAGATTACATTCAGGTATTCTACTCCAAACATTCCTGGTAAAATGTCCTTGTATGACTGCAGGAACTGCTGGTGACTCATTATCGGAGCATCGTGGCCATCCGTTTACCACTAAAGACCGAGATCATGATGAAAATGCCAAATTCAACTGCGCTGCGTACTTCAAAGGAGCCTGGTGGTACACTAATTGCCATGCTTCAAACCTGAATGGTTTGTACTACAACGGTTCACATGCACATAAAGGTCAAGGTATCATCTGGCATACATGGAAAGGAAATCAATACTCTGTCAAGAGAGCTGAGATGAAAATCAGACCGGCCAACTTTTAGGACTTTTACGGTACCCTAGGACGTCTTGTTTCCGTATTAGGTTCCTAGTAACAAACAAAATTTCATGGTAAAATAGCGCATTTACTCGAATAAGCGCCCCCCGATTTATTGCGGCTCTCAAATAATTTAAAGCGCCGCATTTGGGACAAAAATAGTTAATAAGCGCCACCCCCAAATACGCGGCGCGACACCAATGCAATCAAAACCAAAAGACGTTTCTGTTATAAAATAAAATAATATCGGTTACTGAAAAGAAACAGTTCTTTGTCGCCCCCAACTTTAAAATAAGAGCAGCCTCGAATAAGCACCGCATTTGAGACATGAAAATTTTAATAAGCACCGTGGCGCTTATTCGAGTAAATACAGTAATGTCAAAGGAATCGGTGATTATAAAACAGCTTTAACCCATTTTCATTGCCATCGGCATAGTAACACATCAGCATGCGACGTCCGCTAATGTAGGTTCATCTCGATTAGGGGTAGAAATTGCAAATTAAAGTCTTTCTGGGGGCGTTTCGGGCAGAAAGCCAATGTTTAGAAACCCCAAAAAGGTATCACTAAGCGTAGCGAAATACCTCTAATAGGGGCTAACAAATGCCGTCATACTGTGTTAGAGTATGGCCTCCTTTTGAGGTCAAATACAGTTTGAGCCGCGCCTAGATTGGTCTCCATTAGGGGGCTTAATTCTAATTTCCCGACGAGCACGCGCGTCATTTTTACAGGAGAGCACCCCCTCCCCGTTTCGTTTGTTTACTATTCACATTTTTAAAAAAAGGTTTAAACAGTGCTCAAAATCTTCAGAAACATGTTCGCCGACTTTTTCCGTATTTTGACTGGTAATGACAATTTTGCCTTGACAAACGACTTTGTATGATTTCGTGTTGAGTCGAGTTTAAGATTACTCGTATCGTATAGGCGAATCTTTGCTGACGTCATTGTTTACATTTTTCCTCATTAGCATACGACTTAACTCAAAGAAACCGTGGCTGTATATACGAACTAAATTCAAAAGTTGAAAGAGCTGATTAGCTTAAACAATTTGTGCAATTTTCAGCTTATTAAAAGCAAAATTGAAGGAAATCAGTGAGAGGCATCTAAAACTGCGAAATTGCTGGGTGGCAAAAACGTTAATGAGCCATACATTCTTTGTAAAATTTCGAGTTTTTAAAAGAGAATCTTTCCGAAACCATTCGGTATGTCGGGCTCAAATTTTCACATATAACTGGAATTGTTGTGCTCTTTCAGTATTCTGGGGTTTTATTTTATTAACTTCATCAGATAATGACAAAGATTCGCCTATTAGCGACAACCGTAAAGCAGCAATTCAAGCTGCTTATTTCTCTATAAAATATTCATACCGTAACGTTCATTTGTTTTAAGGGCGACAAGGTGAGAAAATTATAGGCTGAAAAGGCTGAAAAAGCCACAGTGGATGCTGAAGTTGTCGTCTCTTTGGAGCTCAAGAAAAAGTTGGCCATCGCTGAAGGAAACGATCCTAACGCGCTAGAAAATAAGGGGAAAAAGAAAGGGTCAAAGACCTAAAATAGAGGCTCTTTTAAATTTCACTGTCATTTTAAAAAACATTGAAAACATTTGGAGAACACTCAGTCATTCAGTCTTTTGATAAAGTGCCGATGAGGGAAATCGAGAGAACAACAACAACAACAACAGCAGTGATGAAGCGCTAGCTCACCTTAAATATGATACGCTGGGGCTTAGACGGGAGATTCACGTGTTAAACCTTGTGAAGAAATGTCTAAATAAGCGCTGCCCGCAATTTTTAATGGACTACTTTTATTTTAATAGAGATATCGTACATTGAAAAGCGCGCCAAAGTAATCATCTCCGTCTTCCCTCCATCAAATTAGAATGTACGAAAAAAGCTTTTTATTATCATGGACGTGACGTTTTTAATCGTAATTTGTAGTTTTTATTAATAGTTTGTAATAATTTTTATCCTTTTTTAGGATATTTTTCTATTAGCTTAGTTAGGACTAGTTTTAAGTATTTTTAACATATTTTTATCTTTCTTTTTTATCTAGGGCGTCTAAGGATATCAGTTTTTGTAACTGTAGGAGTTACCCTAGCTAAATAAATGTATCTTCTTCTTCGTTCTCTGTCTGATAGAAAAATGCATTGGTCTAACCTCAAAATCGAACGCAGAAGCAGTTTAGTCCAGTAGCCGAGGTCGGAAAATTGTCGTTTCGTTCAACCCACGGGTCAGAAAAGGTCTGATACCGGATTTTGGTAGATCAAGTCCTCCTGATTATTGCCTAATAATTTGTAAGGTCAATTTGTGGTATAGGTTTCGAGTAAATGGCGATCTTATTTTACACACTTTACTGTCCAGTATGAAAACGAGGCTGGAACCTGAATCACCATTTACCTCCTAATTCTTTCTTAGAAAATCCCTAAAAAATGGTAACTAACTTAATGTTCAACGACGTTGAGCTCTTTCTCAGTTGTGGTTAATATAGAATACTCTTGTAAGGTTTTTCACAAGCAGCCATCTTGGTGTGCGAGTTCGCATGAAATGAGGGCCAACTCATAGCACAAACCTTCCTTCAAATTGATTTGTTGGGTGTTAATGTGTAGCCGCCCAAAGAGGTCTTTGTCAGTGTTATACAGTATTGCAGCCTTAATGCAGCCTTAACATTCTCTCGGACATGGTACTAAATGTATTTACCTTCAAGCTTGGAACAGGATCCCAAAGATTTACAGTATTAGTGTTCAAAGATTTTCGTCTGTTCTCGACCTTTTTCATTACTGCTAACAAGGCCCTCTGTAACATTTGAAGTCAGTTCTACGCCGGTAGCAAAGTTAACTAGAGACTCCATTTCTTGGACGAAAGGGTTACTCAATAAACCAGAAAAGGGAAAAATAGTCAACAAGCTTCCTGACGTCTTCTTAATCACGCTTCAGTCTCTTCGATGTGGCCTTCTTGTGTTGTTACGTGGTCACTTTCTGTCAGAACCATACATCTTTTTCACAGTTATGAGGCTCTTTGGTGAATAGTTAGAAACAATCTTTCTAGCGATCGTGGACTTTGAGATATGCCAACACTCCCACCCTTTGACTTCGAGTCAGCTACGTAGATTGCTCTAGGGTTGTGTCAGCTGAGACACGAGAAAATGCCTGATCGTTGCGGCTAATGGAGTGATTTTCGGCAACAAATTCTTGATACACTTTTGAGTGTTGTGACTCCAGTTGCTTCATATACCAGCAAGGTAAACTGGTAGCCATCTTGCATAGTTACAGGTCTGTCCAATGAGAAAAAATGCGGCGTCATAGTTGCAAGGGCAGATATATTAGAAGCAAGTGCCAATTTGTATGTTCGTTCTGCTTTGATGAATCGTAAAATTGTACTAACCATGCATGAAACGATACTGCCAACAAATTGCAAACATCTTTGACGGGGCTCTTGCGTGCGATTTGGTGACATCAAACAGAGATGCCAGTATCGTCAAGCTCTTTCTTTTAGTTGGTTAACTCTCTCTGATACACTTCCCTCCTTCTATACGACCTCAAACTAATCAGCAATATTTTCAGAGAGACCCTCTTCTCAGGAGTCAACCCGTGTCTCCTTTTCATGCTTTGGAACAGTCTACGTTCCTGAAGCAATCCATAAATGCTGTATTTTTCTCCTTTGAGTACGAAAATAGACAATTTCACGTAATAGCATGTAGCTTTTTTCTCAACGATCTCTAATTCCTAATAAAAAAAAACTCTCCGTCTGTCACGTTCATAGAGCGACTTTCTATATGACAAGTGCTATAAAAGTGTCAAAAAAGTTTTTTTGATCTATCCTTTACTTGCAAAAAATTAATAAAGGAAAACAGCTAATGCTAAACAAAGTACAGATATTTAAACTGGTTCTTTGAAAGAAAAAAGAAAAGCAATCAAAGCGCGATTTTCCTTTATTTCAAGCAAATAATTTGTCCTTGTGCGAGTAACGCGATCAGTCACGTGACATTGGTGACTCGAAAATATATAATCATCTCCTTTTTTACATTGAACATTGAGTAAGTTACCTTTTTTTAGCGATTTTTAACAAAGAATTAGCAGGTAAATGGTGATTCAGGTATCAGGCTCGTTTTCATGCTGGACCGTAAGGTATGTGGCATAAAAACGCGATTTACTAGAAAGCTATACCACAAATCGACCTTACAAGTTATTAGGCAATTATCAGTAGGTCATGTTCTACCAAAATCCGGTTTTCTGACCCGTGGGTTGAACGAATTCTAAAGAACAATTTTCCTACCTCGGCTACTGGACCAAACGGCCTGCTACATTTGGTCGTTCACATGTTTGCTTTGAATAAAGAAAACTGTGGCTGTTTTAGGGCTTGCGCAATACTCGTGTCCAGTGGCATAGTAAATTAGGGTTGGACCCATATCCATTCACGTCTGATGTCACATAACTGTTATCAGACGTTATGTAACATAACATATAAAATCAGACATCAGACGTGTAATAACAGTTATATGACAGCAGATGTCTGCTGTCATATAACTGTCATCAGTTATATGACTGTTATAACAGTTATATAACAGCAGATGTCTGATGTCATATAACTGTTATCAGATGTTATGTAACATAAAATATAAAATCAGACATCAGACGTGTGATAACAGTTATATGACAGCAGACATCAGCTGTCATATAACTGTTATCAGACGTCTGATTTTGTATGTTATGTTATATAACTGTTTTCAGACGTCTGATGTTATATGTTATGTAATATAACTGTCATCAGAAGTCTGATAACAGTTATATGATGTCAGACGTCTGCTAACAGTTACAAAAATCAGACGTCTGATAACAGTTTTATGACATCAGCCGTCTGATGTCACATAACTGTTATCAGACGTTATGTAACATAACATATAAAATCAGACATCAGACGTGTGATGACAGTTATATGACAGCAGATGTCTGCTGTCATATAACTGTTATCACAGTTAACAGACGCTAACAGTTATAACATAAAACTGTGAAGATGACTACCGCATCTGTGAAGATGACTACTCTAAAGATGACTACCGCACAGGTTGTCGAAACGTCAGTCACTGTCAACAACAACAGTCCTATTCAGGACTACGTTCACCAGGACGATCAAACTCAACCTTTTAGTTACAACATAACTGTTATATACTGTTATATAACTGTTATATAACAGTTATATAACTTTTATATAAGTGTTATATAGTGTCATCAGTTATATGACTGTTATAACAGTTATATGACAGCAGACGTCTGATGTCATATAACTGTTATCAGATGTTATGTAACATAACATATAAAATCAGTTAACAGACGTTAACAGTTATAACATAACTGTTATATAACTGTTATATACTGTTATATAACAGTTATATAACTGTTATGTAACTGTTATATAACAGTTATATAACTGTCATATAACAGTTATAACAGTTATATATACAGTATATATATACTGTTATATACTGTTATATATAACTGTTATATGACAGTTATATAACTGTTATATAACTGTTATAACAGTTACATAACTGTCATATAACAGTTATAACAGTTATATATAACAGTATATATACTGTATATAACATTATTATATGTTATGTTAAATAACGTCTGATAACAGTTATGTGACATCAGACGCGTCAGTTATATGACAGCAGATGTCTGCTGTCATATAACTGTTATCACAGGTCTGATGTCTGACTTTATATTTTATGTTACATAACGTCTGATAACAGTTATATGACATCAGACGTCTGCTGTCATATAACTGTTATAACGGTCACAATGTTAGTCTTAAGGTTACTTGTAATTTGGCGAAGTGTCATGCTTTTATCTTAAAAGTGAACAATTTTGATCGGTAACAGCAGGGCTATAAAGCGTTTTAGAGTGCTTTCAGGTTAGACAAATTAGTTTTTTTGTAACGAAAACCACGATTTAGAGACCATATCGGAATCAGTACCAAGTCAATCTCGTGCCAGTAAACAAACACAGCCGCCAGTTGCCTTGAGTTAAAACATTCTATATTGGCTGATCGAACGACATGTTCAAGCGCTGAAAATGATGCCCTATTCATAATCGCAGCCGTTAGTCTTTATGGTTGTGAATTTTTAAGAGAATAACTGAGCACAAAATTTATCAAGAAAGAATGTTGTATGTACTGAACATTTTCCCCAAAATTCATGTGGCAGTAAAAACTTTCACGTATTTTTAACAGCTTATGAATTCAAAGAATTCCCCTATTTTTTCTTGAAAATGTTTCAGTGGGTCTCCCTACATGAAAATATTTTTGGCTTGCTAATAAGGTTAAAAAGTTGGCCTTAATGAAACTACACCATATTCCCCATATATGCCGGATTAGCTAAGTTGAAAACCAACAGCAGTTTAATTAATCTTAAAATAGTATGCCCTAAAAGATATAGCGATCATAAAAGAGAGATTTTAAATTATTTCTGATGTGGAAACAAAGGTATGAAAAACAAAAAAGAGAAAGAAGAATAAATTTTCGGTCATAGATGATTCTAATGATTGGTCCGTCACTCGCAAGTCAGAGCAAACCTACCGATCCCAAATATAGTGGAATAACGTAGAAAATACAGCGGAAAGAAACTTCGCACAGTAAGATACTAGCTTAAAATTATGTTAAGTAATGTAATGGAGCCTGCAGTAAGCCCGGAATAGTGGTAAAAGGTTGTGACTGTCTTTTTTAGAAACGCTCTTTTAATTAAGGTAGATATATTAAAACTCAGGATTACTAGGAAAAATTGTTCTCCCAAAACGATCACTGTTTCCTCGAAATTAGATTGCAATATTTAATTCGCAATCCGACGTTTAAAAAAATGGTAAAATTATCTCAGGCTTGTTGTCATTTGTAAGGCACCATATTGATTAATAAAACTCACCTTTTTCATACATTAGGCCTTTCTTGGAGATGGCTCGCTTCATGGTACTGTTCCAAGAAGTTAATCATTTCCACATCTTTTGAAGTTTTGGACTCGAGGTTCTCGACAGAACGCCGTAGAAAGTAGTTGTAGTCAGAGATAATATGTTAAAATATATTTAACGGTATGAGGTTGTACAGTCATAAATAATTCAGAAACTATTTGTTTCATTTAAGCAAAAAATCATCATTCTTTGCCCAGCTTTGCTGGTGTCACTTTTTACATATTAAATGACAAATTGAATAATTGTAAGGAAGCAACATCTTTTCGATTCAGAAAAGTACAGAGTTTTTTTTGGTTCTACCTGTTTGAATTGTTCTTTGTTTTTTGTTTTTTTTTTAACAAAATTAATCTAAAAGTTGCTAAAAATTTGAGACTGGATAACGTCTTTAACTTGAGATCTAATCGTGAATATTGTGATAATTAGGGAGAGATTGGTGTGATTGACTTCAGGTAATTGCTTCTTCTAATTCATTATACCTTATTTTCTAGAAAAGTCTTTATAAAAACTTCAGCTGACCATCAAAAGGACGTTAATTGGTCAAACCCAGCAGGAGTTCTTAATTTCAGTAGCAAATATGTGTCAAGTATGAGGATTTGGCTTTGTAATCTTTTGCCATTGCTAAACGTGTTAAATCACATTTAAAAAAATTTCGCGCGATTTCTCTCAAGCTCTACTCAAAATAAACAGCAATGTCGCTCAATATTTATTACACAATGTATGGTTTACTGACTCGTGTTACTGACAGAGCAATAATTTTTTTCTCAATATAAGACTTCAAAAATATGTCTGAGTTTGCCATTAAGGCTCGGAAACAATAATAATTCTTCTGTAATAATAGAAATATAAGGTCACCAGCTATGTTTGAATCGATGAATAAAGCGGGCAAATTTCCTTGATTATTTTTTTGCGAGATTGAGATTATTATTATATTATTATTATTCATGACTTATTTTAACTTTGCATTTACATAAGCTCCTAGCAGTTCGGAACGATCGCAGACACAAGGCTTTATTTTTATTAATCTTATTGGACTATTTATGTTTTTCTTTCCACTTAAGAGCCATTATCTGAGAAAATCGAGAATCGCAAGACACTCGTCAAAAAATCGAATTTTTTTTTATTTTGCCAAAACATTCCTTTTAGTGACCTTATTTAAGGAAAAATAGTTTTGGGTTCAAACGATTCATTTTAAAGGAGAAATTAAAAAAAGTTTGAAAAATCGATTTTATGCTCGTTTTTCGCACAAAACACAGCAGGATGCAATGGCAACTTCGAGAGAAGGGTGAACGCGTAAGAAACATTCCCTGACATTGAAACTTCACCGAATTATTATTTTGTTCTTACTCTTGAAAATCCTAAAAGAAAATTTGATAAACAATGCTTTACATTTTTATAATCGACAAGTGTAAAGAGGTCATTTTTGTGACGTTAGACGTGCTAGAAAATGAAGGCCAACTTTGACTATTAAAAAAGGCCTCTGGTATATGCCGCTTGATCATAAAATTAATATAAAATGGAACCTTGGCTTTTGTACTAACTTACCGGAAAGTTTTAGCTCTGGAAATCAAATATCATCCTGACACCAAAGTAAGCGGTGAGAGTAATTGAATTGGGAAATTTATGCAAATTAGACGGCTTGCGGACGGTTGTCAAACTAAAAGAAAGGTTTTACATGAAAGGATTACTCACCATTGCTTGTAACACGTTTTTACGGCAAGGAAAGTTATTTCCAACTTCTGTTGCGTCGTTTTTAGTCACAAAATATATAATTTTTAGCCAAAAGACAAACGTACGTTTGCTCAGCAACTGCGTCCGAATCCGGCCGTGAATCGAAATAAAGTCACAACACGTCGAAGCAAGAGTTACAAGAGTTTTTACTTCAGTCAGGAGGCAAAAGGAATAAAAATTCATCGCAAACTAATGACTTCGATTTTGAAAACCTTTCATCACTTCAATCGTTCGTCGGCTGATAATAAACATAGCATAAGATCGTATGACCTTTGGTCACACGCTTTAGTCACGTCAGCATGCTGTCACGAAATTTTCGTAGCTGTTGTCAGCAATTTTAATACAGTTTCGTCATTTTTTGACAAGAAATCCTCTCATCGCAGTAGAAACAGCCATGCATATTTATTTTTCTTTTATTTACCTACTAGGCTTGGAAACAGCTTTTTTGCCTTCGAAGTACTAAACAGGAGGGGTACCTCGGATTCCAAGTGTCGTGAGTGATCCGTGGAAGCGAAAATTAAGACCAAAAAAGAACGAATATTTTGAATACTTAAGTAAAGCCACAGCTAAAAAAAAAATTTGTTCAAAATATTTTCAAACCAAGAAAGAAACATACTTCGATCATCCCCGTGACTTGGAATCTGGCCAGAGTACCCCCTCCCCCTCCCCTCCTCCCCTATGCCGGGTCAAAATACTAAGTTCCCCCGGCCCAATGTCCCATAGTCAAGGGAGTATACTCTCTTGCTGTAGTAAAGAACTTGCAGAATAATACCAATTCTCCGAGGCCGACGGATTCAACGCTATAGTTTACTTTGGTTTTGCTTGTTGATTTTTTCGCTATTTGCTCACGATCAGGAGCCTATAACCCCAACCACGACCAAATTATGAAACCTGTTATTACCAGAAAAAAACACAAAGAAACAGTCAGTCAGATAGACAGTACATAATTAAAAAGACCTCGACTAAGATTAAAAAAAATCAATACATGACACTGTCGAATACGAAAACCCAGAAACCATTAATTAACCATTAAGCTGCTTTTGTCCACAACTCGCCGGTAGAGGTGCGCGGAAACTAGTGATTGTGAAATGGCTTCAAACTATGATCCTATACTGTTGGAATATTACTTATCACAGAAAGCTACACCTGATTTCTTCTAGCATACCCAATCCTCTTGGTTCGTGTGGACAAAGTAGCTCATCCCGGCTATTTGCACCATGCTACCATAGTCTCTTTAGATTCCCAAGCCTAGCTCGCAAGCAGACCTTCCTGTCCCACGAACGTTGGGTAGGATTGTAGGACAAGCCAAAAGAAAGTGAAGGCTATAGGCTCTCGCGGTGATGCAAGGAAGGTCGAGTATTATATTCCCCTATCCTGGTCGCCCAGGGTAAGTCTGCGGAGGAGTGTGACTGAGGGGCTGTATGTTCGAAAAGTTGACTAACGCCCCCGGGACTAACGCTTTCCCCTGGATAAATCTATATCCAATAAGTAACACAATTGCTTCTTCTTATTCGCTTGATAGTGATTTCATGTTGTTCAACGTTTGAACAACAGGGCCCTAAGTATTGTGTTTCGTCTTGCACTAAAAACCCATAAACCTTATAAATTTCACTATGAGACTTCAGCACCTCCCTTGAATGATCCATTTCGCTAAACGGGACCTCAAAACAACGATTCTGTGTATCCTAAGGGAGTGTATACTATACTTTCCTGGCTCTCGTCACTCACAGTGAGGTGATGGTGGCTTATACTCTAATAGACCTAACACAGTCGAACCTCCATGTGCGACCGCCAATCCAAAAGACCAAATTTTCCCAGTCAAAGCCTTACAGTTGGAACCTCCAGTAAACGACCACCTTCTGTAAGTGACTGCGACCACTTTTTGGGCGTCACGGTTAATTGTTTTCCATAAGCGACCAGTTGACGCATTCTCAGCTCTCTATTTTTGCTGTGTGCACTATGTTCCTTAGAAAATATGAAGACCTTTAGTGACATCGTGGAACTACACATATCCTAACTTAGTAGATGTAAGCAACAAAGTGAAGATTCTGTTGTGATTCTAGACTATTCTATATCTCACTCACCTTGTCAAAAGAGGTAAAAGATAATATTTTGCCAGGAATTTGTTACACCGCCATTTAATAGAATGTGCCTGGACCTCTTCTCGGAATAGACCCCATGTGGTCCGATTCTTCTAAACGACCACCTCCCGTTAGGGACCACTAAGTCTTTGCATTTTTGGTGGTCGCTTACTGGAGGTACGACTGTATTACTTTGACCTATCGGAGGCTTACCGATAATAAAGGGGATCTGGAAGGGGGCATGGATGCGACAATCACATGCAAGGTCGCTTACTTAAAATAGTGGACATCTAACTGACAATCAAAGTTTGTGCTTATTATTGGGGTTATCTGGTGTTTACTCACCTCCCAAGCTACCCTGGGTGAGCCAACGTTTGCTCCATTTCCTTACAAAACTTGGTAAACCATTTACATGAGAAACAAAAGGTTGGTTCGGATAGACACCTTACTACCAGTAGTGGGCGGGTTGAGGGCTTCTGGAAGTCAGCCCTCCACTGAGCCGGTAGTGGTGGCCTCACCCTTTTAGCCCGGCTAATATTTCTCCACTTTGGCTCGCCCAGCTAGCTGGGACAACACGGTCAAGGCTAGACAAAGACAGCATGCGCAAGCACTGTTGACTCGGACAAAGTGGTCAGTTTTTTCCTCATATAAACGCTCGCAAAAGTTGGCTCGGCTGGGAGGTTGACCTTCTCTCCGGCACAGCTTTTCTCCATCCATGGGTTCCAAACAGTCTTTAAGCAGTCACGTTTGAAATTTATAGGAAAATGATGTAAATAATAATAAAAAATACACTTTTTTCACAGCCTGTCAATGCCTAGAAGGTGTCTATAAAAGAAATCAACTGCAGAACAGGAGTCAATTTCAGTTTTTTGCGCTTTTCACGCTAGCACTGCGAAGCGGACTCGGGGCGCGAGACACGCGCGATGCATGGGGAACAAAGAAATTAAAAAATAAATAAATAAATAAAGCAGGCCTGATTTTATTTCGATGAGTCTATTTTTTGTCGAAAGCAAACGTGAAAAATCGTATTAAAATTCGTGACAGTATGCTAACGTAACTTAAACGTGTGATCGATTTCCGGTCACACGCCAAAGGTCATACGATCTTGTGCGATGTTTATTATCAGCCGGCGAACGACTGAAGTGATGAAAGGTTTTCAAAATCGAAGTCATTAGTTTGCGATGAATTTTCAATCTTTTGGCCTCCTGACTGAAGTAAAAACTCTTGCAACTCTTACTTCTAAAGGACCGCAGTGACGTGCTGTGACTTCATTTCGATTCACGGCCGGATTCTGGCGCAGTCGCTGAGCAAACGTACGTTTGTCTTTTCGACCTTTTGGCTTAAAATTATGGATTTTGTCACTCAAACCGACGCAACAGAAGTTGGAAGTAACTTTCCTTGCCGTAAAAACGTGTTACAAGCAATGGTGAGTAATCCTTTCATGTAAAACCTTTCTTTTAGTTTGACAACCGTCCGCAAGCCGTCTAATTTGCATAAATTTCCCAATTCAATTACTCTCACCGCTTACTTTGGTGTCAGGATGATATTTGATTTCCAGAGCTAAAACTTTCCAGTAAGTTAGTACAAAAGCCATGCAAGGTTCCATTTTATATTGATTTTATGATCAAGCGGCATATACCAGAGGCCTTTTTTAATAGTCAAAGTTGGCCTTCGTTTTCTAGCATGTCTAACGTCACAAATATGACCTCTTTAGACTTGTCGATTATAAAAATACAAGACATTGTTTTTCAAATTTTCTTTTAAGGTTTTCAAGAGTAAGAACAAAATAATAATTCGGTGAAGTTTCAATGTCAGGGAATGTTTCTTACGCGTTCACCCTTCTCTCGAAGTTGCCATTGCATCCTGCCGTGTTTTGTTCGAAAAACAGGAATAAAATCGATTTTTCAAACTTTTTTTAATTTCTCCTTTAAAATGAATCGTTTGAACCCAAAACTATTTTTCCTTAAATAAGGTCACTAAAAGGGATGTTTTGGCAAAATAAAAAAAAATTCGATTTTTTGACGAGTGTCTTGCGATTCTCGATTTTCTCAGAAAATGGCTCTTAAAACCTGGAAAATATGTTTGAGTTTGCTGTAAATGCTCGGAGACAAACTCGTTATTTATTTCCGCAATAATGGTAATATAAGATCATCAGTTATGACTTGGATCGATGAATTGAGCAGACATCTTTTATATCGTTGAATTGTTTTATTTTATTCTTATTTTATAAATTTGCATTGATTTAATGTCCTTGTAATTCGAAATGATCGCAAACACAAGGCTAGGCGAGGTGCTTCGTTAATAAAAATAATTATCGCTACACAACTTTGAATTTAAGAGTTGCGAGTAGATTCCTATATATTCCAGAGATTCACGAACGATGTCACAAAATAACGTAATGAAATGAAAACTTTAAGCTGGCTTTAATTCGTTCCCTTTAATTTTTAACATTTTTACTATATAAAGTACCACAATCCTAAGTGAATTACGATTGTGTCAGAACAAAGCACGCCGTTAATACTAGCGAATCACCGGGCGTAAAAAGAGACCTCATGTAGTCGCTAAATCTATTTACAAAGAGCTGTCACTACAATCCTCAATTTTTAACGATCCTGTCAACGTGGATTTGAGTTCTTGAACTAAATACATATGATTATTTCTATAGTGATTTTATTTCATCGCATTATGCGAATATGTAATCGTTGTTCAATTTGGACAACTGTAGTTAGATTTTTCTAAACGTTTACTTGGCCTATTTCGCTTTCCATTCGCTATTTATTACTTGGTGCACTTCTCCTTTGAGTGTTTAGCCTAAGGCTTGCAGTCAAGGTAAACAGCTCAAAAAATCGGCTACCAAAGGTTTGCTTATTTTGCACTGGCCCCTTTCAATATTCTTCCCTTAACCCAATAAGGAGCCAGTGGTCTCTGCAATCACCGGTCAGAATGCAGAATATTACCAGAGCAGCATCCTAAAGGGGTGTAATTCAGGAAGCAGTCTGTCTTTACTTTCGGGAGTGATTTCATGGTTATCATGCTGATGCTTGGCGGGGGGGGGCGTGGTTGTTAGTACTTGCGAAACAAACAACGAACAATTTTTAATACAAAATCATTCTGACCTGGAGTTCTGATTTCTTTGCTCTCACTGGATATATTGGGTCTCTCAACTTACAGAGAGAATATTATCAGGGCAATCAAATCAAGACTTATTTGTTTGAGCGCCTCGAGACAGAAAGAATTGCAGCATCAACCAGAAAAAAGGCCGAACGTGAAAAAAGTAGCTTTCCGATTTGGCAGATTCAAATCAACTCCGCCTATCATGTGGATTTATTTTTTACAAGTTCTACCTTTTGGGAATTTAAAAGTGCACGAATAATGAGTTCGAATTTTTAAAATTGCCAAATATACTGCAGATTGAAAAGAAAAACAGACCTCTTGGTCAATCGCAAATTAAAGTTATTTCCGAAAAGGTGCAAAAAAAAAAAAATCAACTAATCTGCAAAATTAAACTCCCGCAAAAAAGTGTCACTTGGAAACGCATTAATGAAGCTACTTTCTGTTTCATTTGTTTTTGTTTTTAATTTTTCTCCTAGCAAAATAATTTCCAAAGCATATCCTCAGTGAGTTTTTAGAACGTCTGTATCGAGCAACTTAAAACTCGTTTTTAAAAACGTGAAGGGCGGAGTTCGGAATCGAAAATAATTTATATAATATTTCAATTATTTGGCCAGCTCCCGTCTATCTGCGAAGCAGCAACCAAACATACTTCTCTACATGAAAAGATGATTAATTATTACAAATCAGAAAAAAACAAGCTTCTTCTTAAGAAGCCTTCATAAAGTTTTTACCTATGTCAACACCGCTTTGCGTAAAACTGTGAAAATGGAACGAAGGCCAGAAAAATGACTCTGTTGAGGGTGCGGCATATTGCTTGAAAATGAGTTTCTGTAGAAAAACCCTCATTAAACAAGACCGATTCACAAAAAACCGAGAGGAAAATTTGTGTAACAGAAGACCTCTAGTGTAACAGTAGCTTAGCTTTTATTTTATTTTTTTTATTTTATTAGCTTCGCCAAAAAACAAACAAACAGACAAACAGAAAGAACGTTGGCAGGGACACCGCAACAGCTGTGGCCAATTACAGCGGGCCCGGATACTAATAAAAAAAAATAAAAACAAGAAATGTTAAAAAGCACAGCGATACAAGAAAAACTACAGCTACATACAACAAGTTATTAGAGTTATTAGAGCCGTTATTACACGAGCACAATTACATCTTGTAATGGTCTGCGTAAGAACTAGGCAGGCAGAACGCAAAATCGATTAAAAGGTGTTAACTTTTAATTTTTAATATCAATTAAATGGTGGGTTCTGATTGGCTGAAATCCGAAAATCGACGAAAAAACAAAGAAAAACGTGACAAAAACAACTTTTTTTAGCTTTATTTTCCCCATTCTCCTGTCTTTTACCTCACGGCCAAGTTTAAGCATTGTTCTGTGCGCCAATCAAAAGTTAGAGCGGAAAACGTGCAACACGCTCGTGACATTGTTGTGAACCATCTTGGATGCGGCATTTGAGATGTGAGGAAATTTGTCTTTTGCCCGAAGAAATGTCGTCAATTTCATCGCTGAAATCTACGTATTTCCCTTTATCGATTGTTTATTGCTTTTATTCAATGTATTTTATCATCGGAGTGATCGTGAAATTCCTACTGAAGCAGCGTTTGCAGCTGTCCTCAACATGTCGTCGAGTGGCCATGTGGTCAAGTAGGACCGAAGCAGTTGTTTATGTTGTCAGGAGGAGATCGCTGTGATTCAGTGATTATTCAGAGAAATTGTGGAGAATAGCTGGGCAAAAAGAGTGGAAGCGAAAGATTTGTTCTTTATATAGAAATAAATTAAATTTCTTAAAGCGATGTGAAGCCGCCTGATTTGAGCTCGAGGTAAGCTAAAGCCAATAAATTTTCGCATCACCGCATGATGTGACTGTGTAGTTATTTTGTCCTTTTCGAAACTTCAGAATTTTGTGTATCTTTACTCTTCTATAATTCGATTTGTTTTCAATCTAGGCTGTTTCGTCGAGCTAAGTGCAACTTAAGACGAACGAATTGAAATTTGTGATTGTAATTTCGCAACAGTTGTAAGACGGCAGCCGCTTTAATACAAATGTAGCTCTCACCAGTTTTGAGTGTTACCTGGTACGAAAGATCATGTAAGTTTGACTGTAACTGTTTCCTTTACTTTTTCTAAGAATGAAAGTAGGTTTTGCGGAGATATTTAGACTAAAAATATATCTACCATGCAAGACTGCCGAGAGAGCTTCTTCTGAAACCGAATTCTCCGAACATCCATGAATTTTTTTTCTGTATTATTCAAATGCGGGCCATTAGGATAACCCTCCGACGTGATTTTATCAAATTGTTGTTCTTTATGGTGGCAAAATAAAAATGCGCGACTTTGGCGTGTTCGCCATGTGAGCTTGGATTACTGCTGTTTCCGATCACAGTTTTGACATTTCCTTTGTGAGAGCCGAGGTAGCTGTCTTTCAGAAGGTCGCCGATTGATGTATTCCTGTGCCATTTTCATGTAATTTTATATCAGTTTAACTTTGCTCGGGTTTGGTGCATAGAAATCCTCTAAATTTTAGATATGTTATAGTTTTCAACCTATCAAAGCAGTAGACAAAATTAAAAGTGGTTTGAATGACTCTTTTGCTATCTTAATTCATTTCTAAAATTCAAATTTCGCGCTTTTCGCTCTATTGACCAATCAGAGCATTCAAATTTAATTTGATTAGAGAAATTAGCACCTAAAAAATAACTGCCGCTATTGCACTGGCCTATTGTTCTTTTGCCTAGTTCTTACACGGACCATTACAAAAACAGGTAGACTTTGAACGAACGTGGGTCTTCACAATCATAGGAAACAGCTAATGCGGACTTATAATAATTAAAAACAACCGATTTAAAGGAAGCTAAGGTCGATGAGCTCAAATCTAGTTTATCCACTAAACAATTCCAAATTCTACTAGTTCTAATGAGAAAGGATTTTTGGTACGTACTTGTTTTACATTTCTTAATTATGTATTTATTAACATTGCTGGTTGAGGATCTAGTGCGTCTACCGTATTTGAGAACTTCAGGTAGGACAGAGGGGTTCACGTTAACAAGACCGTGTGTCAATTTGAAAAAAAAAAGTTAGATCTAAAAGTTCATGCCAGTAACAAATAGGTATTAGGTTTTAGAGTTTGTAAACGAGACTTATAACTTATATTAGAAGAATAAGCTAGGCAGTTTTAAGATAAACTTAGTCGTGCGTCTTTGGATACGCTCAAGCTTGACAATGAGCTCAATGGACTGTGGGGCCCAAATTTGGGTGGCGTATCCCAAATGTGGCCTAACTAAGGCTAGGTATAGTGTTCGTCTTACTTCGGTTCTAAGTATGAACCTCGTGCTCCTCTTTGAGTATCCAAGCAGTTTATTAGCTCAAAAAGATTGTTCGTTTACTTGTTTTTACCATGCCACATCCTTATTAATCCAAATGTCCAGATCTTTTTCTGCAGGATATAATTCAGGTGCGGTGTTGTTGAGTTTGTAAGAGGATAAGATCGGCTTTGTTTTCCTTGTAATGTGCTGCGCCTTACACTTAGCTTCGTTAAAAAGGAGACCGGATGATTGAGACCAAGTTGCAAGCTTCCCCAGGTCTTCCCGGAGAGAAGAGGCATCCCCCAAAGTCTTTATCTCTCTGAATATTTTTGTGTCGTCAGCGATCATCAATACTCGACCGCTAGAACTGATGACTTCCGGAAGGTCGTTGACGTATAAGAGGAAGAGGGCTGGTCCGAGTATGGAACCCTGAGGTACTCCAGAGGTAACAGGAAGATCCCCTGAAGTGGCGCCGAGAACCGTAACGCGTTGGCGTCGACTTGACAGGTAGGAGAAGAACCAGTTAAGCAGGTTTCCACCGAAACCGGCCTGGATTAGCTTATGGACGAGGCCTCTGTGACTGACTTTGTCGAAAGCTTTTGACATATCGAGGTAGATGGTACCAACCTGGCTGCCACTATCTAAGAGTGAACCAATGTGGTCAAGAGCCTCAAGCAGGTTGGTGACGCACGATCTTCCAGTACAAAAACCATGCTGTTTCGGTGAAATTACCTGGTACAGGTGATCCTTGATGCTATTCAACACACAACGCTCAAAGACCTTGGACACTATTGGGAGTAGAGAGACGGGGCGGTAATTTTCCACGTGGTCTTTTGCACCCTTTTTTGGACAGGCACGACGTTAGCTAGTTTCCAATCACTCGGGAGATACCCTAGTTGCAGTGATTTGTTAAAGATCTTGATCTAAAAAAAACGGGCCTCTGAAGGTGTCTGCAATTCACTGTCACTCTCTGAGCTGTCTGCTATAGCAGAGTCGACCAGAGTCAACGCACGCCGATTGTTTCGCGCAGTTCACCGTATTTTTTGATTTATTTTGTTTTCCTTAGTTTTTTTTTAATTTAAGGAAATTTAGTCTTTTTTTGTCGTTGTTGTCCGAACAACGTTATGAGGGCACGTGTTTTGCTAAGAAATGTTTTAGTAACACAATTTATAAATCCAAGTCGTGTTTTTTTTTGTTTTTGTTATTGTCTACAAGTTTTTCTATCCGCATTTTTCCATCCGCGTCCGCCATCCGCAGGTATCCGGTCCTCGTTTTACAGACACCCGTCGCGAATATAATTATTCATTAAAAAAAGATACAGTTTAGGTTTAGTGGAAGTTTCCACATAAAAAAAAAGAATAATTGGAAAAATTGTACCCTTAACTAAGTCGTTTGAGTACCTTTTTGAAAATATTCTCTTTCATAAAGGCGACTGGCAATTTAATTCGCTGAGCATCACTTCAACATGGCTCAAAATTCAGTATTTCTTACCTATTACGTAATTCTGGTAGATCGTTTGCCTTTCAACTTAAAAGCAAAAAAAACTCTACCTCTCATCATTGTTTTATGACACCTTAGATTAGAATGAGAAGATCGCTGGCCTAAAAAATAAGCGATATTAAGACGCAAATTACGCATCAACTGTCATCGCAGCTACCGTAAAGTCATAACCCAGAAGGTTACCAATTGTTCGGATAAACATTGCACAGAAAAGCCTCATCATCGTAAAATCGATCTGATAAGCCCCTTTCAAACGGACGCAACATTGTTGGATTTCCGTTTGCCCACCCTATTGCATGTTGTTGCTTGTAGTTGAGAGTTGTTGCGCAACATTTGAGGGTTCATGTGTGCAACATTTGAGACCGGTCAAACTTTTGAGCCATGACTCCCAACTTTTTTTTTGTTCCTTGATCGCAGAAGCGTGGCGCAAAAATGTGCACAGCTCTTCCAACATTGTTGGGGCCACGCACGATGCACTTCCCACGACACACTGCACGACGATTTTTAGCGCAACACAGCGTTGCAATATTGGAACATTGTTATCTCTGCTGTATATTATATTTGCCAAACTGTTCAAGCAAACTGTCGTTCCGAATCTTTGCTGATGCCACTAATATATTTTATGCAAGTAATAATCTGCATAACCTTGACTCTGTCATGAATGAAGAATTTAAGTCAGTAGTTAAGTACCATGCCATTAACAAATTATCTATAAACTTTTCAAAGACAAATTACATCCTAGTCTCATCCTCAAGGTTAAGTGAAGGTACAAATGTAAATAACATCAAGATTAGAAGCCAAATAAAGTCCCTGGGCGTGTATATAGATCAACACTTAAACTGGGGACCTCAGATTAAGCATATTAAAAATAAATTAGCAAAACATATAGGAATTATTACCAAATTATGACACTATGTAAATCTTCATACAATGAAACAACTGTATTACTCTTTGATATATCCATATTTAACTTATGCTAACACAGCTGGGGAAGTGCTTGCAAAACTAACCTGAATAGGATCAGGACTAAGCAAAATAAATGCATTTGTTCAATTTTTTTTGGCACACAGTAGAGAGAAAGTTTCGTCTTACTATAATTTATTGGATATCCTCAAATTTGATAACATTTTCAAACTTAAAGTAGCATTCTTTGGACATAAAACCATTAACGATCCAACAGGCATCCAAACAATATTCTCTGGAAGTCCACCTCTAGCTTCTGACTGCCATAGTAATTATACTAGATTTGTTTCTAATCTTAACTTCCAAGGGCCACAATAAACAGTAACTATGGAGCTTCCACTTTTTCTTTCATTGCGTCGAAAATATGGGAGACTATTCCACTGGAGCTTAAAAAACTATATGTCACTACCGCTTCAATCTCTAAACACTTCAAGTTATATCTGCTTAATAGGCCATTTGCACGATGACATCATTTTACTACTACGACCAGAATCTATCAGGGGTTTTGCTTTCTTGTGCTAATTAGGGCTTTTGTTATTCAAACCTCACTGGGATTAAAAAATTTAAATATGAAAGGAAAAACGAAAAGGATTCTGGTCGTAGTAGTAAAATGACGCCATCGAACAAATGGCCTATTCGCAATCTGTTTCCTAGAATACATTGATTTAGTTGACTTTAGTTTAACCACTTTTAGCCATGTTTTGTTGTTGTTGTTGATTTTTTTGGTTGTTGTTTTTGTTGTTGTCAGTGTTCTTTGTTTTCTTTTGGTTTTTTGTTTAATACACGTCAATATTGTTACTTTAGCACTTTTTTCTCTTTGTATAATTATTTTTCACTAGGCTTATTGTTTATGCCAGCTAGCTTAACCTGGCAGTGACCAATCCGGAAGCATTTATTTAGCTAATTTGGTCAGTGTGCACATCTTAATTCCTTAATTTCTTGTTATCTTTATTTCTGACATTGTTCCACAATGTACTTACACAAATTATTATACTACTACATGAGAAATTTCTGCAATTTGATTGGCTTAGAGCAGTGGTATTTCAGCTTAATTTGAAATACCTACATGAGAAAACTACAAACCTTTTGTGGGTAGTAGTATAAACAAATAATAGCATGATTTGTACGTGATATTTGGCATAAATACCACTTGTGATATAATAATATAAAATTGTCTCAAATTTCACTCGCCTAACGGCTCGTTAAATTTCGTATAACAATTTTGAAATATCACTTGTGATATTTATGCCAAATATCACTACAAATCATGCTATTACCTATACAAATTCCAATGTAATCGATATGTAAATAGTGCAAAAACAATAAAATGTGAAAAAAAAAATCTGAAATCTAGCCTGTTCCTGCTTTCTTATTTCGCGCCGCATTCCATTTTCCGAACGCCGGGAACAGGCTGAGCAATGTTGTAACAATGATGCAAAGCTGTGTTGCGCTAAAAATCGTCGTTGCGAATAGTCTCGTGTAACATCACTTTGCACGTGCATCACACTTTTTTGTACATTTCTTTGCCGTCATGTCACTGCACGACTACGACGTGAAAATGCCTAAATTCACGCTTTATGGAGGACGTAAACAAGCGATGACGAATTTTTCTTTGATTCTCTTTTTAACCTGAGTGGGGTCCCCTAGAAATCAACTCCATGTAGGGAAATTGGCCTACATTTGACATTTTCAGCGAACTCACTAAAACGCGACAAAGTTTGAAAAAACACGAGTTCATTTTAAAAGTAACGTTTCGTTGCCGTCGCCGTCATCGATGCTAATTATTAGGGACTTTAACATCCAACTGACGACGCGATAGCAAGGAGAACGTCTCTTAAAAAGTTAAATTGCGCTCTTTTAGTCTTAATCGCGATTATTCCTACCCACTTACGTTGCCAAATGTAAGTGAACCCTCCTGAAGTTGAATTCCTACGGACCATATCAAAGTTCAGAAGGAGAAATAAATAAAGTGTCCTCGTTGCCGTGTTGAGGTACTCCGTAAAACGCGAAATTAGGCATTTTCATTTCGTAGTCGTGCAAAATTGCAAAAACGGGCAAAGAAATGTACAAAAAAACGTGATGCACGTGCAAAAGTGTTGTTTTGCTTATAAAGCTTACTGTTTTTTTGGACGTTCTCTTTGCCGTCGGCGTTGCTGAATCTTAATCTACAACAATTTCTATGACGTTTTTTAAATCTATAGAAAGGTCGCCAAATTTATATATAGTGTTGCATTTTGTTGACAATATCAATAATTAAGGAAGCACTTTGTAGAACAGCACTCTCTTGAGCTCTCGAAAGTTGTATTGAGTTTGAGAGTGTGTGTCCTCTTGTACAAATATTGGTAGTTTATTCAGTGTTATACAAAGTAGATATCGCACGCAATATTTTCACCGAAATTCTTTTCCCTGATCTTATTTGTGACGATTTTGTCTATAAGCCTTGATGAATTTTGCTGAAACACCCTTGCCGGCCAGTCGGTAAACCCTGCCACGGGTCTTTATATTTTCCAACGTTTGACTGGGGCCAGTTAGCGAAAATTCGTCAAGGACGCCTTCTAAAAAAAGTAAAGGTACCAATTTTAAAAGTGATTTGTTGAAAATTAACAAAGTTATAGCTCCAAAGCGGAATTTTACAGACATTTGCCCCCCACCAACCTCCCTAAATTGTCGCTGCGACTTTGTGGAATAATATCTTCGCTCGCTTCAGACGTATCACCTGATAGTTTCCTAATTATTAGGAGCTCTTCCCAGCGGTGCACTATTTTTATCAAAGTTGACAAAAAACAAAATGGCGGTCTATTGTTAGGAGAAGAGTGGCGCCATGCATAGTGGTCGACTGGGTGCAACTTCACAATAAGCTAAAAAAACGTACCACCAGCTAGAATTAACAATTAATGAATTAACAATTAGAATTAACAATTAATGAATGAGGCTGAGTATCTTATGAAGAATTATGGAGATTGAGGAGGGTGTTATCCGTTGAGGCTGTAGGCCGAGGCGGATAACACCCTCCGAGATCTCCATAATTCTTCATATGATACGAAAGCCAAATTCAATAATTGTTTTATTGAAATTTGCAGTCATCAGTAACTGGTTATGGTGAATTAAACGTGTGCTTTTCGCCAATCAGAATCGGGAAAATATTTTGAATGAATTATAATACCAGTTAAGAGAGGGTAAAGGCCCTCTCTTTTTAATAATAAAGAGCCCTGAAGTATCAAAGAAATCCTTACACCACTAAGGAAGAAGAGGAGGACCGAAGTTATGGAACAGCCCTGCGTACGTAGGAAAATATGTAAACCAGCGGTGGAAGGACTTTCAGATTGCACCTACTTTATATCAGATATTCAGGAGTTGGGAGAACATCCCGGACATTGTTACACGTACAACACGTTCAACACGTTACACGTACAAAACAACACGTACAGGAAACAAAAGTTTCAAGAGAGCGTTGATGAAATTAATTGCTTAGTAGGTTCGAATGATCAAGAACAGTTGCTCACGTACTATGTGGTTGCTCCCAAATGGCACAGACAACTTTCAAGGACAGCCGTGATCGAATGCTATATAGGACCATTGTACCATTTAGCACCTCTCTACCGTGGTTTAAGCATAGCGACCCAGTTCCGTGTACGGAGAATAATAAAGCGAAAGTCTTTTGGGTTATTCCATGGCATCTGGAAGAAAAACATAGAAGGGACTATTTGTCAGGGGCACCCAACGATATGGTCTCCTCCTAAATACATTGAAAACTCCTTTTAGGCTATCCAGAGTACCCTTAGATCTCTTAGATCTCGTCCTAGCGGAACTTGAGTCTTACAAGGGCTATATTATTTTCCCGAAACTTTTAGCTGCAATTGAACGTTTTACGAAAGTGAGAATTGTTCTTATTCCTCTCTTGATCACATTCTTGAATCCGAAAAGTTTAGGTTTCACTTTTTCTACGAAAATTATAGCCTAACATGGGTATTAAAATGAGAAAAAATTAAACTTCAGAAAATCGTAGGGAATTTATTAGATAAGCTTCGAACATTGTACCTGAATGGAACGGTCATCTAGAAATTTCTAACCGTCCTCAAGCAATAGAATATTCTAGGCAATATTTGCTTCTCCGAACCGATATTGTACAGAAAACAGTCGTTGGGTGCCCCTACGTGCCAGGAGAAAAGCTGAAATCGAACCTACGCGATTCTATAACAATTAATTATTTGACAAAAGTAAGTTGATGACAGGAAATTCTATAAGTAACGAAATTGGGATTTAAAGTGATTTACCTTCACGCATACTTTTGATAAAAATTAGAAAGAAATATACGATTTATTTCTGCCTAAAAACATCCCTTCAATGTCGGACCATGTCGGATGTCGGTTAATGTTTTTCCTGTCGGTAATCGGTAAATTTCCCTCATTATCGAGCATTTTAGTGACTTTCTTTTTGGTGGGAGGGGAGACCGAGCAGTTTAGTGGGAAAAAATGAAGCATTATGATGGAGCATTTTAGTGGGGAAACAAAAGCATAATGTACAAAGCCTACAGAAGGCCTCACAGGAATGGCTGTAACCAAGTTGCAACCACAGTAAACAAGCGACATAAACCGGAAACAATTGTATAGAGCTTCGTGCTATTTTCAGACCCTTCGTGCTATTAATGACCAACGAGCTTCGTGCTATTTTCAGACCCTTCGTGCTGTTAATGACCAACGTTCACCAATCGTACGATCGGGCGTTTTCACGAATTGTATTTTGTGTAATTACATTGGACATACGCCGGAAATTACGAATTTCGATCCAATACAAAAGCGACAAAAGATATTAAGGCAAACAGTCGGACCTGAGTCAGTCGAGGAGAAGGATCGCCTGAGTTTGTCAGATCTGAGGTCTTACACCGCTGTAGGTTTCTTCACACCCAATGAAGGATGGCGGCAACTAATAGTACTTTCAGAGCAGATCCCAGCGATGAAAATCTCTATAATCACATAGAGTTGTTTAATAGACAGTCTATACAAGGCGAAGCCCCAGCAGCAATCCAAACTCACCAAGAGGAAGCAGCATACCAGACTTATGGAGGGAATGCCATACCACAAGAAGAAAGGAAGATTATTGCGAGAAGTCGCCGTGAGAGGTCATTCGCTATGATAGCTGTTCTAGTCTTATCCTTCTTGGCAATGGTTGCTGCATCGATCTGTTTAGCCATGATGATGATATCTACTGACGGTAATTTTTTTCTTTATTTTTTATTGCATTGATTGTGGCTGATTCTTGTAATACATGTTTTTAAACCCGTTGGTCTGGATTGATCAAGCCATCTTGCACTTTATTTCACTGTACGCCGGAGGATGGTGCTGGTCGCCCCACGTAAAGGAACCCAGTTTTCGGGATCTGCGATATTTTTGAGTGCGGAATCCGAAATACAGCTCCATGAATACGGAATCCCACTAGCAATTGGAATTCAGAACCCAAACTTGTTCCACTGACGAAGAATCGGAATCCAGTACCTTGAATCCGGAATCCACGGCGTGGAATCTAGAATCCAAGACTTTCTTGGATTACCTTACATAGGGCGATATTGGCCATCTCTCGTTCCCTTTTACCAGGGCATTTGGCATGTTTTAGGATTTAAATCACATTATTTTTAGGCCACAGGCACTTGGGAGACCGGAAATCACATGATCTCTAACTCTTCCCTGAATGAATCTAGTGAGATGGGTGATATTTGACTCATTTTCATTTATTTGTTTGTTGCAACGGTACGTTAATAAGTCCCAAAAGGGCGAATCAACGCTCTCTGTATCTGTCTGACTTCTACTTATTGGTGCTTACATGACGAAGTTAATGTTAATTGTGGTACGGACGGGGAGGGGAGGGGAGGGGAGGGGCTCTCATATAAAAGTAACGGGGATCGGCTTGTCGGAGATTTGGAATTAAAGGGACCAATCTGAACGTGGCAGCGGATTTATTTAAACCCCAGGAGGCTATACTTCAACACAGTATGACTCCTTTTTGTACTTATATATTTCTTCACGCGCAATCCTTAAGCGATACCTTTTTTAGGGGCGAAAATGTTGGCGTTTCGCCCTCAACACCTAAGTAAGACCAAAATCTACAATTTCCACCCGTAAGCAAGATGATGGGCATCCGCGTCACTTTTCTATAGGAGTCTCTCCCCCGCCTCGTCCCCCGAGACTATTTATGGTGTTGTTTTAAGAACCGGGTTGCTGTCGCTTAATTCCTCTTCTAGATTTTATGATCGACCAGTCTTTGTATGGCTTTGTAGGTGCCAGTTCCGTTTATATTGAATACTTCATCAATCTGACCCAACCTCCGTTTTCCAGTTGCAGATAAAACATACCGTAACATTCCGAAAATAAGCCCCGGGGCTTATATTTTTCAAAGGTCCTTTTTGAGGGGCTTATATACGGCAAATTTGCGTTTCAAAATCGGCTAGGCTTATTGCTGGTTTTCAGTGTCATGCCATTCAAAATAGATAAAAATCAAAATCAAAACCATTCGACAGATGAAGTCCAGAATCTGGGAAATGAAAGGAGATAAATATACAAAGACCCTGGCCAAGGTTTGCGTCGAAGGAATAATTCGTATACGAGATATCCGAGGAAATGTTTTACCCAAATTTAGAGGAGCTTTGTACGGAGACGCCATGCTGAAGCTCATCCGGATGAGCTCCAACATGGCGAACGGAAACCAACAGAAACATCTGTTACCGAGTTTTGCTACAAAAGTGTGAATTTACTCCTAGAGGAACTCATAAACATTAAAGTAATAATTTTTCTAATACTTGAACTGTTTAGATAGCAAAATTCCCCGAAAATAATCACTTTTTTAACCTAAATGACAGCTCTCTCGGCTGTCATGTAAATGCTGAGTCACGCAAAAGCTCAGAAATTTAAGCATACTCTATTACAAAACCAAGAGCCCTTTTGAAGCGAAAATTTGTTTGAAAATTAGTTTTCAGCTGCTCTAATACACCATGAAATTGAAATCTCAGTAGGATCGATAGTTTTGTAGTTTGAATTTTAGTGACATCATGCGAAAACCAACAATACTGGGAGAGAAATATGCGTCTCAAACTCCATTGGGCTAGCTTATAGTTGGAAGGAAATTTACGTTAGTAATTTGCAGCAAGTTTTTTACTGAAGTTCATCTTGAGGACGTAGATCTTTCTAAAACTCAGCCATGCAAGTTCCTTGTCTATATGGACCGAGGAAATCCAAGCCAAAACTGAAAAGTGAACTACGCAAACAGCAATATTAATATGCTGTGACACTTTTTGACTGCAATCATTTGGCACACGTAATAGTTCTTTGGCAAAAGCAAAATTTATGTGTTACTGTTCAGTTTTTTATTTGTGTTGTTTTGTTTTTTAATTTGAGGGCAATTTCCGAGTACAAGCCCCCGGGGGCTTGTATTTGGAGAGGCAATTTATGGGAGGGTTTTTTGCGTTGCGATTTTGGTGGGCTTTTATTTGGAGGACCTTATACGACATGGAGAGGCTTATTTCGGAATTTTAAGGTATTTATTGATTCATTGATGATGTTTTATTTTTTTTTGGTTTTGTAATTTGTTTGCCTAATTTTTGCAATTGGGAGTGTTCCGGGGATCCGACCCGTCAGGGGGTGTTCCGCGGTATTCCGGGGTGTCCTGAGGGTGTCCCGGGGGTGTTCCTGGTTTCACAGAAACTCAAAATAGAGCCTGAACTATTTAATCATACCCCTGAATTACATCGGTTCCTCTTTAGTTGCGCATATTGTTAGACATGTGAAGAGGCGAGTGAGTGTCTTGATGTGACTGATTTGTTTGAAAAACCAAGGTGGCCTCGTTACGCTTCTGTCACCAGGCTCTTAAGTACTATTTTCGTTCTTTAACACACGCCAAAAAAATAGTCGCTTGCAAATGAACCTACATGTACAGCCTCTAACAACAGACCGCAGGCTAGGGATACATGTTGATGCGGCAGTTACAACTTGATTGTCTTGAGTTTTGTTAACAACATTTGACATTTTCTTTATTGCCATATTGAAACCTTCAACTTATTTTTTGACTTTACAATTTGATGACGTCACTGTGAAAAGTATCTATTCTAGCTGGTCGTCTTCCATACTTTATAAACTCCATTTATGGACATTGTCTATCACTTAAGCCCATTTTATATAATTTTCTGTGTATTTCCGTATAGATGGAGTTGATAGTGGTTGGTCTTCCTGGGGCCCTTGGGGTCCCTGTTCTGTTAGATGTGGGGGAGGCAACCAAAACAGGGTTCGCGATTGCACCAATTCCCCTCCTTCAAAGGGTGAAAATGCCTGTCTTGGCTTGAGCATGGAGTCGCAAGCTTGCAACCCACAGAACTGCTCCCGTAAGTATTGAACAGTAGCATTTGTGCAGGTAATTTTCATTTATATAGCTTTAGAGTGACAACCGTGATTGTTATTTCAGTGACACGACATATAAACAACAGCACCGGTAAATGACAAAAATGAAATAGATAAGTAAATAAATAAACAAAAAAATCATGACCTTAGAATGATTCCGTTCCATTGCAGTTTATTCTATTCTATCAAGAGATGATAACCTTTATGTTCTCTTGATTCTATTGTATTCATGAAGCTATTTAATTATACCCCTGAATTACATCGGTTCGTCTTTAGTTGCACATATTGTTAGACATGTGATGTTCCAATGCAAAAATGCTAAGTTGTTATAAAGTCACCTCTCTCCTGATCTCAGGTTAGGCCTCTTGTTGCTGCGAATTTCGGTTTATGACAGCTAGAAAATGCTGCTGCTTTGTTTTGGTTTCTTGTCTGGGCTTTCTTACAAGGAAACTGTATGACCAAACTGATAAAAAAGTTTATATTGGAAACAATCCCGCATTCGCGGTAACGGTTCTGGAAGATCTGCGAACAAACAAACTTTGGACAAGAATAAGATAGAGAACACTGGTAATTGTGTTTAGATGTTGGCTTCAAAAAAAACATTTATATGTTCAGTTGCGGACAAAGTCTGTAGAAATCGTTTGAGCTGATGAATGAAATGCTTGTTTATCTTCAATAGTTTTCATGTTTTCGTGTTTTGTGCTTTGGTTTTTTTATCTGTCTTCTTTGCACACGAAAAGGTGGTTTAGAAGCCCTTATTTGTTAAATAAAGGCTATTAGTTTGTCATTTATCAATTACGCAGATGGTCAAGATGGTCGTGATTTTGCTGAGATGAAACAACAGCTGAACGAGATAAAGAAAGAAATAAATGCTACGAAAGTTAATGTAATTGCAAAACGCAGTGCTTAATAATCTGGTTAACGAATCCGCGAAGTTAGATCAAGTATTATTCAAAAAGAGGGGGTTCTGATTCCCTGTTCTGTTACATGTGGCGGAAGCATCCAAAACAGGATCCGCAATTGCACCAATCCTCCTCCTTCAAAGGATGGAGATGCCTGTCTTGGCCTGAGCTTCTAGGCGGAGAAACGTTCTGCAGTAGTAGGGGAGGGACTGGTTACGCCGGTTTTTTGTGGATTTAATTAACTTTTTGAGTGGTATAAATTAACGCAGATGACGTCATGCATCTCATTAAGATAGGATGATGTCATAGTTCAAATTAATGCCAATGACATCATGCATGTCATTAAGATAGGATGATGTCATGTTTAAATTAATGCCGATGACGTCATGCATACCATTAAGATAGGATGATATCATAGTTTATTTTTAGCTGGCAAGAAGCAAGGGTAAGGAGCAAGTGACGTTAGAATACCCTAGGGGTTGACGTCATCAAAAAATGTTGAGTTCATAATCTATAAACAGAAAAGTGATTTTTTGATATAATCAGCAATTTGCTATAGTCTTCTGATTGGCAAATTTTAAATGAGCTATCTTTGCAGATTATACTAAATGAAAAATCTTTATCATAAAATTATTTTCACTAAAAATCAGTTATAAACAAAACCAAGACACAGAGGTTAACTAAAAAATCTTTACTTCAAAAGAAGGAAAAATGAGGTCAGGCGAATCCGGAATTGTACTAATTTTTTTCGGGCAAGTCATAAAAATGAGGTCGAAGCGCAGCGAAGCGAGAAACTGCCTATCAAGCAAAAATGTCAACCTTTGTTTACTTGACTCTGTAGAAAGTATTGCACAGGATATAAAAATTCCATGGAAAACAACAGGTAGTTCTAAAGTAAACCCTAATTCTTTTGGTTCTTAAATAAACTTCATTGTAGTAACTAATGAGGGGAACGTCTAGTAAAAAAAAAAAAGGAATAAGAGGTGCAATCGCCTAGCAACACATGTCTTCTTATTTAGCGCTAAAAATCGGATATATAAACAAAACACATACACACACAAATACACACACGCACCCCCCCACACACACACACACACACCAAACAAACAGTCGCTCGCGAATGAACCTAGACTTGCTCAGCCCCTCCCCCTACCTACAATGTGGGCCATTCTACACCAACGCATGTTGGAAAGGGTAGCCATTGCTTGCATGACGAGATTCATAGAGAACTGAAATCGTAGACCCCTGCTGATGTTCGCCTATTCAAAAGGCGAACATCAGCAGGGGAGCTCTGTAGAAGTAATCAACTTTTTACGGCTCATTTGCTTGGAGGTGACAAATTCTGATATCAACGGAATTCCTGTACGTCAACAAGATTTCGGTTCAACAAAGAACTCAGCTACAAATTAGCCGCATTGGAAGTCTTTCCGCCGAACCGGAATGCATTTGCCTCTGTAGTGGCTGCTCTTAAAATTTATTGTACTTCGAGAAGAGTGATTTTACGCACTTCTTACTGAGGAATTTTCCATCGTATATTTTCTTTACTTGTATTTATTAAACACTAAGCGACAGTTACTTAGCTGGTATATTACAAAATCGCGTCATAATTAAGCCCTTTTCTGTTTAACCAACGCTTTTATCAAACCCATTTATCGTGAATAATTTCAATACAGCATATAAGGCAGACTGGAAAACTAAAGCACTTATTTTCTTAAACCAACCGACCAAGAAATTAAGAGGCCTGGAGGTCCAATGATTTCTGAAACCGCGGCCTAAGGTAACCCGTAATGGTTTGAAAGTAATGTCACTCTATTTTCTTTTTGCCTCTCTCGCAAGTGAAAGTCAGAGTTCACAGAGACTGTGCGGTTTTCTCGAGTGCGTTTTAGAAGCTGCCTTAACGGAAAGGTTACTACACTACCGGAATTAAAACATCGAGGAAATTATTAATTTAAAGCCGCGGAGTATTTTCCCCAACAATGAATAATATTACCTATAACTTTCTGCGATAACGCTGCAAAATATTTCAGATTATTTTTCAACCGAATAGGCTGCGAATTTAATGCGATGATCATGTTCACTTTCATACCTTCATCCGCATTTCAAATATTTCAATTCATGCTTACAAGATCTCCCTAATTTTATGTCTGAACGCAAGGCTTTTTTAATGGAAACTTCATTCAAGGGCAGAACTAACACTAAGCGCTAAACGGAAACTGCCTTATGAAAAAACTTTTAAAATTGACGCGCTGTTTTAAAGGCCTCACTGGATCTGGATGGGGTTAAATACAAATGTAAGCCAAACACTAATTTTGCAATATTTAAATAATGTCTAAAAAAAAAGCTTTCCTCTGAGATACGTGGCGAATAAAATTCTCACAGAGCCACAGCCTAAAAAGGCTAAGCTACTCTGTTGAATCAGGAAGGCCAAACTTTTTGTCTTAATCCTGGACAAAGATTCAAACAATATCTAAAAGCGAGTTTTTAGTTCCCTCTGAGACACCCGGAGAATAAAATTCTCACAGAGCCACAGCCTAAAAAGGCTAAGCTGCTCTGTTGCATCAGGAAGGCCAAACTTTTTTTCTTAATGCTGGACAGAGATTCAAACAATATCTAAAAGCGAGTTTTTAGTTCCCTCTGAGACACCCGGAGAATAAAATTCTCACAGAGCCACAGCCTAAAAAGGCTAAGCTGCTCTGTTGCATCAGGAAGGCCAAACTTTTTTTCTTACTGCTGGACAGAGATTCAAACAATATCTAAAAGCGAGTTTTTAGTTCCCTCTGAGACACCCGGAGAATAAAATTCTCACAGAGCCACAGCCTAAAAAGGCTAAGCTGCTCTGTTGAATCAGGAAGGCCAAACCGCTTTACTTAATGCTAGACGGAGATTCAAACAATATCTGAGAAGCGAGTTTTTAGTTGCCTCTGAGACACCATGCAGGAGGATAAAATTCTCACAGAGCCACAGCCTAAAAAGGCTAAGCTGCTCTGTTGCATCAGGAAGGCCAAACTTTTTTTCTAAATGCTGGACAGAGATTCAAACAATATCTAAAAGCGAATTTTTAGTTCCCTCTGAGACACCCGGAGAATAAAATTCTCACAGAGCCACAGCCTAAATAGGCTAAGCTGCTCTGTTGCACCAGGAAGGCCAAACTTTTTTCTTAATGCTGGACAGAGATTCAAACAATATCTAAAAGCGAGTTTTTAGTTCCCTCTGAGACACCCGGAGAACAAAAAATTCTCACAGAGCCACAGCCTAAAAAGGCTAAGCTGCTCTGTTGCATCAGGAAGGCCAAACTGTTTTACTTAATGTGGGGCATACACTATCATCTTCACAGATCCAATCAGTGAAAAATTAAATAAAGCTTTAATCTGTAAATCAATTTTTGGTTTAAGAAATTTTACTCACTTTTACTGACTGTTGATAGCCACTGGCTTTGGCAAAATAAATTTTCCTGTTTTCTTAAAAGGGATTCGATAAAATTGAAAATATCCACTACGATCCACACTTAAAATCTGAACTCTGACTCGTTTGCGATCACGCTTAAGAAATAGTGATCTCCATCAACATTCTCCATCAACATTACACTTTCACATCATTAGCAGTTATTGAGAATTTATGAAATGATCGAGTGATCAGTGTCGACCTTAAAACGTTTTTGCGCCAAAATGATAATAGGTATCCATTTGAAGATGATACAAAGGAACCCAAAATAGACTTACCAAGTTTCGGACGATGTTTAGAAAATTGAAAAGGGCTGGAGAGCATCACCGTTCAGGCTAAATCCAGTCAGCGACCCCTAATAAAAATCATTTAAGCTTACATAATCAACAACGACGTGAATGCCCGAGTTTCTGACTTGACGGTCATCTGCCACCGTCAGGAAATCATACGATATTGCTTCTCGAATGAATCCCTCATTTGATTTTCCCCAATTCATTAATCCACGACCAAGTACCTTTTCGAGATCTCCGCACAACGAAACGCTTTCTCTGACTTCTCTGACCGCTTCCCGCTATATTTTCTAGTAGCTGGAAGGAAATTAGTCCTTCTTTGATCGCTTTAAACCCGCTTTCGTCTGCATTTCATCGGCGCAAGTTAAAGGCTCGTGCTAAGGTTGAAACGTTAACAACATGATCTTTCCTCTTTGAAAAACCAAATCTTGATGGGTTGACTCGAGCGCCAGTACTATCTGTACTATCGACCAAATCATAAATAGCTATAAATAATCGGCCCTGCTACTTCCAAACGTCATCTTTACATGAAAAGCATACAATTTTGACTTGCCGTGAATTATATCTGTCGTAAAACCATTTAGTCACTGATACTGCGTACGATATTACCTTTGTTTGGCAAGCGAGGGTCCAAAGACTGAAGATGCTTTTCCCGACGAACGCGCCACTTTCGTTCCGGCTTTGAAATTCGCGCGAGATCGCATTGTGATACAAATAGTATCTGTCTTTCATCTCAGCTCGTCTTCCATCAGTGACGCAAAGTACACAAGTCACGACAGATTAGTGGCTATTAATTGAATCCTAATTAGGTTTTTACAAGGACACCGGAAACTGAAACTTTCTCCCTGTGGTGAATTTCAAAGTCGTATGAATCTCGTCATGCAAACTTCAGTTGTAAAATATATACACTAGAAATACGTGTCTCGCAAACCCTCGCAAAACTCAGTGTGCCACTCAAGTAAAACTTGCTTGACGGGGTTGGAGATATTTATTGAACCTACTCGTGTTTCTGCGTCGCGGCGCGAAGCTCGCACGTTCAACGTGCGAGTTAGGAACCTCGGCTACGCGAGGGCCTTCCATTCTCTATCCTCGAGGAGTAATTCATGGCTTAACCTTGTTTTGGATACAATTGTAGAATTAAACTACTTACACTCGTTGATGCAAAAATGGCCCCTCCTGCCTCTAAACATAAGCGTGCGCGAAGCGCAAGAAATTGAATTTGACTTAATTCTGACTGTCCTGAATGGTGGATTAGTTGTAGTGTTATTGTTCGTCTGTCGGTTATTGGCTTTGAGGACTCTAATTTCGATCCATCTTTTGTCACAGTTACAACGGTCGTTTTATTGTTAGTCAAATTGTCAGTTGTCCATTCACTCTATTGAAGCCAGTCTTGCTTGAGTCCGTTGATATAAGTCGTTTTGAAGGTGCCGGTAACTTCTGACTACGATTCAGCCGCGTTTGCTCCCAGTTGGTAAATCAGCTTTCTAAAGTGAATCGTTGATAGCAGCCTTAGAAATACGTAAGGCAGGTCGTAGAGTCAGTGTCGATTTGGTGGTTCGTCCGTAACTGGTGTTCAACAATATCATCATAGCCATAAACATCACGGCTTAACTGACAGATGAACAACAACATCACGATTTAGTTGACCAGCCAGATCGATAAACTACGTCTATAACTAGAAATACGTGTATTGCAGAACTTTGAGAGGCTCAGGCTCATAAAATGACAGGGATGGGAGGGCGGGAGAGAATAGGTGAAATGTGTAGCTGGGGAGGGCGGGATTCAACACTGGCTCTAATATGACTAATATTGGAAGGTGAGATGTACTTAATCTCCTTTTGGTTGGAGTAAATTTGTACCCAGTTCTTTGGCTAAAAGAATCTTCTGGGATTTAAATATGATTGCTGTTGTCGAGGAAAGATAGCCAATGTTGCATTAGTCCCGTGTTCACCCCATTTGACCCTTCTACATTTGTAATTATAGTCAAAAGGAAATGCTGGGCGTGATAGTGAATAACTGCAGGCTAATCTGCAGTTGCATTTGCTTAATATTTGGGTTAGATGCCATCTCTAATAATAAGCGTAATTATAATTCACTATTTGTGAAGTGTGTCAGTAGTAGTGAGTGGATGAAATGGTTGGAGATTATGCTGCAGTAAAAACAACAAGTAAATGCTGGTAATTGAAGGGAAAAAATATATTATATTGTTAAGTGAACTAAAGCAATGAGAGTGTTTCCACTTGTTTTAGTTCATTATCACACTTGACAACTAATTGTTTGCAAGTAACAGTAAAGTGCAAACATAATCACTGAAATAGAAATTACATGTAGCAATGTCTTAAGGGTGCAGTTCATGAGAATTATGAAAGTGATCATGAGTGAATTATGAAATGTCCACGTACAAGTCATGTTGAAGGTGATCAGTTTCTCAATTCTCAACATGCATGAGCTTGTTTAGACATGGTTGCCAGAGGCATAGTTTTTGGAATTCCCAGACTGATCATGACGGTCAAATGTACACTTTCCTGACAAAATGAATTGACAATTTGTGCAGATAATGGCTTCTAAACTTGGGTCAAAACCTCGTGTACTGGACACAAATGACGTAAAACAAAAGAGTTCTTTGTTGTCTGTTCAGGGAAAAATCTGCTTGGTATTGTTTCATGGTTTTTGTTCTTTTGTTTTACGTCATCTGTGTCGGGTAAACGAAGTAAATGACCAAACTCCCATCACAGCCGGCCATCCTCTTCACCCATTTATTACAGGAATTTATCGTGAATGTAAAATGCAGAATGGATAGATCTTATAGGAAACCCTATGTCTGCTTGTCGTTTAATTTCTTGAAACAATGTTCTGCCAATGGAACATGTTTAACTTCTGCTAGTATGTCACCTCCCTCTGGCTTCTATGAAAGAGTTAAATTTTTCCTGACTCATATTGTCATACATGTCACACACTAATATTCTGAGAAGATCCGAAATACACATGTTATTTTGATTTCTTAATCTCACAAGCTCATTTAAGTTTTGCACCCCTTTATGACTACCACTCACTACTCACCCACCCCTCCCCATCGAACGCACTCCCCAAATTGGTAATTATTACTAGTATAAACCCATTGCTTTTTTTGCTCTTCTCCTTGCCGTCGCCGTCACCGTCGCCGTTGCTCAAGCTCCCTATTGTTGTGATCTGGTAATTTTGCTACCATGGTAACGTGACGTCACACGTCTCCTCTCTATTTTAAATAATTTTAAGGTCATCATCTTTCCTGAACAGCTAATAGGAACTGTGCTGAGCTATACAAAGCTGGCAAAAGAATCAGCGGTGTGTACACAATCGACCCTGATGGTGAAGGTGCCTTTAATGTGTTTTGTGATCAAAAAACAGCCGGAGGGGGATGGACAGTGTTCCAGAAGAGACTGGACGGCTCGGTTGATTTCTATCGTAACTGGGATGACTACAAAAATGGGTTTGGTAACCTGAATAGTGAGTTCTGGCTTGGATTGGACAAGATTTACCGCCTGACGGAAAAGAAACGCAACCGCCTTCGAGTTGATCTGGAGGACTTTACATCCAGCAATGCTTACGCTGAATATAGCTGGTTTGCAATTTCAAACGAAACGACTAAATACAAGCTCAGTCTAGGGAGGTGCTCAGGTATCGTGTTTGGAATGTATTTAGTTTTGATGTATAGTATTTTCTCTTCGTGTCTTAATTATTTGTTCCAAGCTTGTTTGTTAGCGGTTTCTTGACTTCTTGCAAACTTGAAAACTCCAGGAAGTTTCAAAAGGAGCTCAGTTACTTTTCCAAACGTAGCCCCCCTCTTGTACTTCAATACTAGATTATATTCAGGTATTCTACTCCAAACATTCCTGGTAAAATGTCCTTGTATGACTTCTAGGAACTGCTGGTGACTCATTATTGTGGCATCGTGGCTATCCGTTTTCCACTATAGACCGAGATCATGATGGCGCTGTCAAAACCAACTGCGCTGTGGTTTACAATGGAGCCTGGTGGTACAATTCTTGCCATGATTCAAACCTGAATGGTTTGTATTACAACGGTTCACATCCACATAAAGGTCAAGGTATCATCTGGTATACATGGAAAGGAATTCAGTACTCTGTCAAGAGAGCTGAGATGAAAATCAGACCGGCCGACTTTTAGAACTTTTACGGTACCCTAGGACGTCTTGTTTCCGTTATAGTTTCCAAATAACAAACAAAATGTCATGGTAAAATACCGCATTTACTCGAATAAGCGCTGCCCCCCGATTTAGTGCCGCCCTCAAATAAGCGCCGCATTTGGGACAAAAATAGTTAATAAGCGCCACCCCCAAAATACGCGGCGCGGCCGCCATGCAATCAAAACCAAAAGACGTTTCTGTTATAAAATAAAATTACTGAAAAGAAACAGTTCTTTGTCGCCACCAACTTTAAAATAAGAGCAGCCTCGAATAAGCACCGCATTTGAGACATGAAAATTTTAATAAGCACCGTGGCGCTTATTCGAGTAAAAACAGCAATATCAAAGGAATCTGTGATTATAAAACAGCTTTAACCCATTTTCATTGCCATCGGCATTCATAGGCGTCTTAGTAACACATCAGCAAGCGACGTCCACTAATGTAGATTCATCTCGATTAGGGTAGAAATTGCAAATTAAGGTCTTTCTTGGGGCGTTCAGGGCAGAAAGCCAATGTTTAGAAACCCCAAAAAGGTATCACTTAGCGTAGCGATATAACTCTAATAGGGGCTAACAAATGCCGTCATACTGTGTTAGAGTATGGTCTCCTTTTGAGGTCAAATACAGCTTGAGCCGCGCCTAGATTGGTCTGCATTAGGGGCTTAATTCTAATTTCCCGACGAGCACGCGCGTCATTTTCACACGAGAGCACCCCCTCCCCGTTTCGTTTGTTTACATGAAGCTTTTGCTTTACATGTGCCGATTAAGCTATTCACATTTTTTAAAAAAAGTTTTAAAAAGTGCTCAAAATCTTCAGAAACATGTTCGCCGACTTTTTCCGTATTTTGACTGGTAATGAAAATTTTGCCTTAACAAACGACTTTGTATGATTTCGTCTTGAGTCGAGTTTAAGATTACTCGTATCGTATAGGCGAATCTTTGCTGACGTCATAGTTTACATTTTTCCTCATTAGCATACGACTTAACTCAAAGAAGCCGTGGCTTTATATACGAACTAAATTTAAAGTTGAAAGAGCTGATTAACTTAAACAATTTGTGCAATTTTCAGCTTATTAAAAGCAATATTGAAGGAAATCAGTCAGGCATCTAAAACTGCGAAATTGCTGGGTGGCAAAAAAGTTAATGAGCCATAAATTCTTTGCAAAATTGCGAGTTTTTAAAAGAGAATTTCTCCGAAACCATTCGGTATGTCGGGCTCAAATTTTTAGATATAACTGAGATTGTTCTGCTCTTTCAATATTCTGAGGTTAACTTCATCAGATAACATCATCAGATAATGACAAAGATTCGCCTATTAGCGACAGCCGTAAAGCAGCAGTTCATTGAAAACATTTGGTGAACACTGAAAATTCAGTCTTTTGATAAAGTGCCGATGAGGGAAAACGTGAGAACAACAACAGCAACAACAACCAAACAACAACAACAGCAGTGATGAAGCGCTAGCTCACCTTAAATATGATACGCTGGGGCTTAGACGGAAGATTCACGAGTTAAACTTTGTGAAGAAATCAATTTTTAATGGACTACTTTTATTTTAATAGAGATATCATACAGAGAAAAACGCGGCAAAGTAATCATCTCCGTCTTCTCTCCATCAAATTAGAATGTAAGAAAAAAGCTTTTTATTATCATAGACGTGAAGTTTTTAATCGTAATTTGTAGTTTTTATTGATAGTTTGTAATAATTTTTATCCTTTTTTAGGATATTTTTCTATTAGCTTAGTTAGGACTAGTTTGAAGTATTTGAAACATATTTTTATATTTCTTTTTTATCTAGGACCTCTAAGGATATCAGTTTTTGTAACTGTAGGAGTTACTCTAGCTAAATAAAAGTATCTTCTTCTTCTTCGTTCTATGTCTGATAGAAAAATGCATTGGACTAACCACAAAATCGAACGCAGAAGCAGTTTAGTTCAGTAGCCGAGGTCGGAAAATTGTCGTTTCGTTCAACCCACGGGTCAGAAAAGGTCTGATACCGGATTTTGGTAGATCAAGTCCTCCTGATTATTGCCTAATAATTTGTAAGGTCAATTTGTGGTATAGGTTTCGAGTAAATGGCGATTTTATTTCACAAACTTAAAGGTCCAATATGAAAACGAGGCTGGAACCTGAATCACCATTTACCTCCTAATTCTTTCTTAAAAAATCGCTAATAATGGTAACTAACTTAATGTTCAACGACGTTGACCTCTTTCTCAGTTGTGGTTAATACAGAATACTCTTATAAAGTTTTTCACAAGCTGCCATCTTGGTGAGCGAGTGCGCATGAAATTAGGGACAACTCATAGCAAAAACCTTCCTTCAAATTGATTTGTTGGGTGTTAATATGTAGCCGCCCAAAGAGGTCTTTGTCAGCGTTATACAGTAATAACCTTGTCATCTGCAGCCTTAACATTCTCTCGGACATGGTACTAAATGTATTTACCTTCAAGCTTGGAACAGGATCCCAAAGATTTACAGTATTAGTGTTCAAAGATTTTCGTCTGTTCTCGACCTTTTTCATTATTGCTAACAAGGCCCTCTGCAACATTTGAAGTCAGTTCTACGCCGGTAGCAAAGTTAACTAGAGACTCCATTTCTTGGACGAAAGGGTTACTCAATAAAACAGACAAGGGAAAAATAGTCAACAAGCTTCCTGACGTCTTCTTAATCACGCTTCAATCTCTTCGATACGGCCTTCTTGTGTAGTTACGTGGTCACTTTCTGTCAGAACCACACATCTTTTTCACAGCTATGGGGCTCTTTGGTGAATAGTTAGAAACAATCTTTCTAGCAATCGTGGACTTTGAGATATGCCGACACTCCCACCCTTTGACTTCGAGTCGGCTACGTAGATTGCTCTATTGTTGTGTCAGCTGACACAGGAGAAAATGCCTGATCGTTGCGGCTAATGGAGTAAGTTTCAGGTCTGTCCAATAAGAAAAAAATGCGGCGTCGATCGTAATTGCAAGGGCAGATATATCAGAAGCAAGTGCCAATTTGTATGTTCGTTCCGCTTTGATGAATCGTAAAATTGTAATAACCATGCATGAAACCATACTGCCAACAAATTGCAAACATCTTTGACGGGGCTGTTGCGTGCGATTTGGTGACATCAAACAGAGATGCCAGTATCGTCAATCTCTTTCTTTTAGTTGGTTAACTCTCTCTGATACACTTCCCTCCTTCTATACGACCTCAACCTAATCAGCAATATTTTCAGAGAGACCCTCTTCTCAGGAGTCAACCAGTGTCTACTTTTCGTGCCTTGGAACAGTCTACCTCCTGAAGCAATCCATACTGAATGCTGTATTTTTCTCTTTTGAGAACGAAAATAGACAATTTCACTTAATAACACGTAGCTTTTTTCTCAACGATCTTTAATTCTTATAAAAAAACTCTCCGTCTGTCACGTTCATAGAGCGACTTTCTATATGTCCAGTGCCATAAAAATGTCAAAAATGTTTTTTTATAATCTATCCTTTACTTGCAAAAAATTAATAAAGGAAAACAGCTAATTCTAAACAAAGTACAGATATTTAAACTGGTTCTTTGAAAGAAAAAAGAAAAGCAATCAAACCGCGATTTTCCTTTATTTCAAGCAAATAATAATAACGTGACATTGTTGACTCGAAAGTATATAATCATCTCCTTTGTTACATTGAACATTGAGTAAGTTACCTTTTTTTTTTAACAAAGAATTAGCAGGTAAATGGTGATTCAGGTACCAGGGTCGTTTTTATGAGTAGTCAAGGGGGTCTAGTCAGTCACAAATTTTGGGGGACTACGGGGGAAATCGGGGATACTGGAAAACCAAGTATCACCGGCAAGTCAGTCAAGTCAAGTTAATCTGGTTTTTGTTCTGTAATCAATTTTGCATTGTCGAAGGTTAATGTCAAGAGTTAATTCTATCGAGTGAGTTTCCAAAACATAACTAAATGTCCTAACCTAAGCTATTGTTTACTTTCATGTCAAGGGTTAAATCAGTCGAGTCTAAAGCCCTAAATCAGTCGAGTCTAAAGTTTAACCCTAAATCAGTCGAGTCTTAAGTTTAACCCTAAATCAGTCGAGTCTAAAGTTTAACCCTAAATCAGTCGAGTCTAAAGTTTAACCCTAAATCTGTCGAGTCTAAACCTTAACCCTAAATCAGTCGAGTCTAAACCTTAACCCTAAATCAGTTGGGCGCAGTGTTTAGGGTTAAATCAGTCGGGTGCAGTGTTTAGAGCTAAATGAGCTGGATGCATTGTTTAGGATCAAATATTACCCTAACTCTTAAATCTTAACCCTAACAAAGAAAGCGAATGTCCTAACCCTAACAAAGAGAGTGAATGTCCTAACCCTAACTAAGTGAGTGACTTGTATGCTAAATTTCACCAGGTCACGGTTGAGCGATTACGGGCATGTTTGAGCAAGCCCATTGACGTCACATACATTTTGATAACTCAGCAGAATTTGTTTCTATTTTTAGAACACAGGGCTAGTGGGGGATATAAAAGCGGGATAGCAACTCATACAGGTCATTTGATTACAATTCGTTGTACTGTGCAGACCTCTCATCATGGCAATTACTTACCCACGACCTTGTCCCATCTGTGCGACCAAAATTAAGAATAGAGGAAATTTCTTCCGTCACAAAAAGTATTGCTGTACTAATGTTAAAGTACCTTGTTTACACTGTGACAAGACGTTTTGTCGTAAAGATAAAATGGTGGCTCATGTGAAGAAGTGTCACTCCCAAGCTGCTAAAAGAAGAGCAGAAGAAAGCGATGAATTGTTAAAGTTACAATTATTGAATTCTGGAAAGGTACCAAGATTGGATTTCGATGAACAACTTGGTGGCGCAGTGAGCACTCGTGGAACCAAGCGTGTAGTGGATCAAGAAGAAGCCAAGTTACAGGTTAAATTACCAAAACCTGATGTGAAGGTTGCAAAACCAGAGAATTCTATTGAGGTTGATGTTCATGGTGAAAAGCCATTGTTTGTGGCGAATGTCACAAAATTAGGACCAGCCAAACGATCGAAGCAAAATGCAGTTGTGAACCAAAAATTCATGATGACCTTAGATCAACAGCGTTCTGCTAAAGAGTCCGAAGATTTGAATATTGAAGCCACTTACGCTATTGCAGATGCCACAGATAAGTTGATCGAGGAACTCAAAATACCCAATGATTATTGGATGACTTTACAAATTGGAAGTAAAGAACATCGCAGGGATGGCTTAACAGGAGAAACGTGGCGAGTAGACGTAGGCGATTTTACGAAGCGAGCCGCCATGACACAAGGAGTATTGCAAAAACTTTCACTGGTCTTAAACAGCGGTGAGTTCATTGCGAATGATGTTGGATTTTCTGCCTCGGTCTTATTCAGCCAGCCAGAACGAAAAGGTGGAAAAAGAGCAGGTGCAAGTCCAGGTCAGAAAATATGGGAGAAAATGGCTAAAGAATCCAAGTGCGTTTGTGAAATAAAGAACAAGGATACTCTCTGTTGCGCTCGTGCCATTGTGGTCATGAGAGAGTATGCGAAACGCCAAGCCGGTGAAACGAACACGTTTAAAAATATTTGTCAAGATCGCGGGACGAATACCCAGCAAATGAAAGAAGCTAAAAAACTTCATCACGAAGCAAAGGTGCAAGAAGGTCTTTGTGGTTTAGACGAAGTAAATCAATTCCAAGAGTACCTAGGTCCACAAGGATTTCGAATCATTGTAGTCGACGCTACACGCGGCGGTGTGATTTTCAAAGGAGAGAAGTATGAAGACGAAAACAAAATTATTGCTATCGTCAAATCAGTGTACGTGGATGAACAGAACCAGGAAAAAGCACATTACGATGGTCTTTATTCCATTCCTGGTTTTATGAATCGAGGCTATTTCTGCAAAAAGTGTTGCAAAGGCTACAATAGCGAAGACAGTGCCCGTCACCGATGCCAAGCTAAAAATTGCCCTGCCTGCAAAAGAAACACTGCAAATGATGAAGAGGGATGTCAAGATTTTACGTTATGGGCCAAACCAGACCGTAGTTGTAGAATCTGCAGACGTGAATTCTATGGGGAGCAGTGTTTTCGAGCACATTTCATTGAAACGGTAGAAGAAAACAAAGACATAAAGAAAACAAAAGAGCAATTAGAACAACAACTCCACGAACGTTTGACCCCCATCCTAGAACTGAAAAGTACTTGTAGAGACTTTCAACGTTGCCCACAGTGTATGGTCACATACAAAGTGAACCAAGACTTTCCTCACAAATGCTTGCATGCACAGTGTAAACATTGCTTCGAGTTTGTGCCCATTTACGAGCACAAGTGTTACATTACCAGTGAAGACGAACAAAAGTTTAAGAGAAACTTGCAAAAATTACGAAAAAAGAAGAAGACAAAAGAAGCGATTTTGGGAACGGTCGTTGAAGGATTGCCTGATCAAAGTACACAAGACGAGATTGATACGTTGATTGCTCAACGAAAGAAAAAATTAAAAGATTTGGAGTATATCAATATGGGTGTTCCAATGGCAGAAATCAAATTAAGGGATTTGCAAGAAAAAGTCATTGATGATCTCTTGGAGGAAGGAGTACCACTAGAAGAAATTACTCTTGAAATGGTCAACGAGCGATTACCGAAAGATAAACTGTCAAAGAAGATTGTTGCTGATGATTTGATCTTTGCTGATATCGAGTGTCTGATTGACAGCAGTAGAACTTTTATCCCGATTCTGATCTGCTATACTAAAGGACGGAGTAAAACCATCTATCACCACTGGGGTACGAATTGTGTGAGTCTATTTCTCGACACAGTCCAAGCATGGGCTGAAGAAGAAAGGCAAGAAAACGGAGGAAAAGGAAAATTACCAGAGTACACTATTTTCTTTCATAATTTGAAAGGGTTTGATGGTGTACTCACCACCAACACACTACACAACCAGAATCTCAAGGTGACAGATCAAATGGGCACAGGGACCAAGCTATTTCACTTCAAGCATCACAATCTGATTTTCAAAGATTCGTTGAACTTTCTGAATATGCCCCTTGCGGCCTTTCCAAAAACTTTTGGTTTAACAGAGCTCAAGAAAGGATTTTTCCCACACAAATTTTCTATGCTTGAAGATTTACACTACGAGGGTAAGATTCCAGACATCAAGTACTTTGAACCACAGCACATGTCTAAAGAGAAGAAAGAAGAATGCGAAAAGTGGCATGCTGAGCAAGTGACAGAAGGAAAGACTTGGAATTTTCAAACAGAAATGTTGGACTATTGCAAAAGCGACGTACAGTTACTGCGAGAAGGGTGCCTGAAATTTGCTCAAGACACAAAGAACGAGGCAGGATTTAATCCCTTGACACAATGCATTACGATCGCCTCGACCTGTCATTATTTCTGGCGAAACTATCAGATGCAGCCAAAAACCATTGCCGTTGAACCTGTGAATGGATGGGGCGGTCTCAAAGTGAACCAAAGTAAAGTAGCACTCCAATGGTTGTACCTGGAAGATCTAAAATTGGGTGGCAACAGAATCAAACACACACGAAATGGCGGAGAGCAAGTTGTCCAGATCAAGGGTGGCAGAGTCACCGTGGATGGTTATGATCCATTGACTAAAACAGTCTTCGAATTCCAAGGATGTGAGTACCATGGATGCAAAAAGTGTAATCCGTATAGGAGACATATGAAACCATTCCATCATCCGGATAGAACGATAGAAGAAATTTATCAAGTCACCCAACGAAAAAAAGAGCTGATCAAACAGGCTGGATACACAGTGATTGAACAATGGGAATGTGATTTTAACAAAAAACTAAAACAATGCCCAAACTTGCAAGAGCAAATTGATAAAATGACCTGGGTTTCTCCTTTGAACCCAAGAGATGGTTTTTATGGTGGAAGAACTGGCATGGCAAAATGCCATTATCAGGCAGAAGACAACGAGAAAATTTTATATGAAGATTTCACATCTTTATATCCTACCATCAACAAGTACGCAACCTACCCCATTGGACATCCACAGATTATCGTGAATCCATCGGATCAGAACATCTTTCACTACTTTGGAATCGCTAAAGTGGATGTCTTACCACCAGAAAAATTGCTGCATCCTGTGTTACCGGTGAAGCTCAATGAAAAATTGCTGTTTCCTCTATGTGTAAAATGCGCAGAGGATCAAGCAGAACGCCCTTGGTATGAACGCTCCAATCTCTGCCCACACAGTGATGAAGAGAGAACAATAACAGGTACTTGGTCCACCCCAGAACTGCTAAAAGCAGTGGAGAAGGGGTACCAGATTACCAAGATCCATGAAGTCTGGCATTTTCCGGAGAGTCAAAGAAAGGAGGGCCTTTTTGCACCGTATGTGAATACATGGCTAAAACACAAGACCGAAGCCAGTGGATGGCCTGCTCACTGTTTGACTGAAGACCAAAAAGCAGAGTACGTGGAACAATATGAAGAACACGAGGGGATTAAGCTGGATCCTGAAAAGATTGAGAAGAATCCAGGTCGTAAACAAGTGACGAAGCTTATGTTGAACAGCTTTTGGGGGAAATTTGGGGAGAACGAGCATCGCACACAGACACAATCGATTCAGGACGAAGATACTTGGCCAAAAATTGTGCAGGACGAATCGTTTATGGTCAAAGATGTACGTATTTTTAATGAAGACGTCATGGAATTAAGCACACTCAAATACGAAAATGCCTGTGCAAGCAGTGGTAAAATCAATATTTTTATTGCATGTTACACGACAGCCTTGGCGCGTCTAAAGCTATATGCAGAATTGGAAATGCTTGAAAACCAAGTGTTGTACTATGACACCGATTCTGTGATTTACAGTTACAAAGAAGGAGAAGTCTAAATCCCTACGGATGTGTTCCTTGGTCAAATGACAGATGAATTAGAAGGCGATGCTATTACAGTGTTTGGGTCTGCGGGACCTAAATCGTACTGTTATCAGACAGCGAAGCGTAAAACCGAATGCAAGAACAAGGGAACCAAGAGTTCGTACGAAATCAACCAGGTATTAAATTGCAGTTCAATGATGAGCCATATCGAGAAGGAGTTAAAAGATCCATTGGAGCAAAGACGGTTAATGGAAATAGAAATAAAGAATCATTTTGTCACAGATAACACAAACAAGACTGTTAGTTTAACAGATTTAGTGAAAGTGTTTGGTGTCAATTGGGACAAGCGTGTCGTTGAAAAAACCACAGGGGTCACTTACCCCTATGGCTATGTGAGGTTGTAATTTTTGTAAAAGTTCAGTTTTTATTCATAATGGTTTATACAGAGTTTTGTTGTCAGAGCACAGCTAGCTTGGTAGCGCGAGCTCTAGTTTATACTGTTGTAAAAGAGAGGTAAGGTTTGCATGGTGGCGCAACCAGTAAAGTATGTGTTGTTACAAACTACAGGTGTGGTTATTGGTGTGTAAAAAGTCTCAAAACCCTAAACCAAGGAGAAAATTTCCCAAACCTTAAACCAAAAAGAAAAATTCCCAAACCTTAAAAGCGAAAAAGGAAAATCCTTCGATCGCAGTGCTTAGGGTTAGGGTTAGGGTTAGGGTTAGAGTTAGGGTTAAAATGCTAATAAGCCCTAGCCCCTGGGGACTAGGGTTAGGATTAGAGTTAGGGTTAAAATGCTAATAAGGTTGGGGTTAAAATGGTAATAAGGCCTAGCCCCTGGGGACTAGGGTTAGGGTTAGAGTTAGGGTTAAAATGCTAATAAGGTTGGGGTTAAAATGCTAATAAGCCCTAGCCCCTGGGGACTAGGGTTAGGGTTATTTTGTGATGACTCAGTTTATTCCAACCATAAAACAAGTGTGAATGTAAGTGTGGGGAAGTCAAAATGCAGTCAGTATCTATGCAAGATTTGGAACAGTTATCGTAATGGCAAGAAAAACGTTTCAAAAGTAAGCATTGGTATAATCCGTACAACCCAGTGATTTCAGTGGAGTTAACAGAATTCGCAGACAGAGTGGTGAGAAATAACGACGCTATGCAAGAAGAATTTCAAATGGAGATCACAGTACACCAACACAGAGTACCAGCATGGAATGAAAGTCTGTTGATGTCAATAAGTGATGGTTTATTACGTGCAGTACAACATTGGGTGACAAGTCGAAGATTATCCATGAAAACAAGATGTTATTTAACCCTACACACGGTGGAACCGATTGCGCTTCCGCTTACAAAATGTTTAGGCTTGCTGACCAATATTCCAGTCTTTGCCTTCTTTCCATGGACTGTGTCCTTATCACGCACTATGTTAGCGATGTTCGATGCTCTGAGTTTTAACTGGTTATTGGCTAAACTTCAAGCACCGGCTAATAACATGAAGTTAGTCATCACAGTGATTCACGAGCCTGCCTAAACATGTAAGATCCCAAGGGACCATCACGCTCAGACTTGCCCATTGACGTCATCACTCTAGGGAATTTTGTTGAGTATAACTAGGAGGTGACATTTGATGAAAATCATTACAGATTTGCAACATGCCGAAAGTCACGTATCCAAGACTATGTCCTACCTGTGGAAAAGAATTGAGCAAAAACAATTTCTTTTATCATAAGAAGCAATGTGGTACAACAGAGAATCGCTATCATTGCCCATACTGCCCTCTTTCGTTTACAAGGAAATATACTGTGCAACGGCATGTACAACAGCAACATTCCGAGAATCCATTATGGTTTACCTGCCCAAAATGTAATCAAGTATTCAGAAGTAAACAAAACATGAAACTTCATTTGGAAACTGTATGTGCTGAGGTAAAACCCTGCTTCAGATGTTTCTTTTGCAACGCATCATATACAAGACAACACAACAGGCAAAGACAAATGCGAAAAGTCCATGGACGTATTTGCAGGGAGCAAGAAACCAATTTGTTTCTCCATTTGCAACATTTAAGCGAAGAAGAAGATTTCCAAGGAGAATGGATGTTTGTGGAGTCACGACCCATTGAAGCAGACGAACACAAGATTTGCCCCTGTGGTCAAACAGAGATACAAACCTACTTCTTTATGGAGAACAAGATCAACGGAAACCGGACCTTTGTAGGTTCAACATGTATTGAAAACATTGATCCTCCAGTGGGTAAAGTGATTGCTTATTTTGAGTATATATTAAAGGAAGGCATACAAGCAACATATCAAGGAAAAAACGACAAAGGTTTACAAAGGTTTACAGTGACATCAAACACAGTACTCGTTAGAGGTTCAGAAGTAGTGAAACATTTAAACCCACAAGTCACCAAAACCTTGGAAGGGAAATGGCAAGTCTTGGTGAAGTACCCCAGACCAGAGACTCTGATTCAAGGACAAACCTATGACCTACGATTGAAAGCTAAATATGTGAGAGGACAGTTAACGTTTACTGCATTGTAACTTTTTTCACTATACGTGTAACTAGTTTTTAGGAGGTCAATAAAATCACACAAAGGTTACAGTTGAATCATGCGTTTTTGATAGATGTGACTATAACCAAAGCAACGGGCGAATTCATTTATGAGATCGTAAACATTGATTTACATCCACTGTTTATGGAAAAAGGATCTCGTTATTATAACATGAATCTTGCCTTAATGGACGTGATAGCAACCAAGCTCATTTCCGCATGGGATACATACTCAACGAATTTTGTCGTACATATTACACTTCACGATTATTGTCATTAGTTAGTTTTAGGAAGTCAATAAAAATCACACAAAGTTTACAGTTGAATCATGTGTTGTTATTTTTACTGAGTACTGTTTAATTGATGATAGAGTTGGGCATATTTGGACTGCAACTCAGTGAGTTCCTGCATGAGTTGTGCCACAGACAATTTCTTGGGTTTTCTGGGTAACTATGAGCGTTCGCCTTCTCGTTCCTTTTTCATGGTTTGATAACTGGTTTGATCTTGCTCAAGTTTCTTCTCCTCATCCAAAATCATTTGATCTAAAATGACACAATGTACTTGTTCACAGGCCGCATTGACCACAGCTTGTGATTCTGGTGAGTCCATTTTTGGGTAGGGTCGTAATGATTTGAATCGTTTAGGAAATGTGCCCTTCTTGAGATGGTTTCTAAACCCTTTGATGGCTTTTTCACGATACTTGATGCGGGCCTGGATGGTTTGCAATTTTTGACGATAACTTTTTAGGGTAGATTTCTTGCTTTTTACGGTAGTGTCCATATTTTTCTCAGTGGGTTCACACACGGTGGGAGGATTATTTTCTTGGATAGGTTCAGACACAGCGGGAGTTTCTTCGAGTGCAGACATGTTTCCCATACAAAAGTAAGATAAAAATGATACTCTAACGTGAGAACGAAGTCAATTTTATAGTCTGAGGTGAGACCTGAAAAACATAAAAGAATAGCCTGTGTTAACATAGCATTCATTTAACCCAAGTTATCATGAGGATAGGACTGCATGAGGAATGGTCTCCGATAGAGGAGCAGTGGGATGAAGATTTAGAGGACATGTGGACTACACACGAGCAAACAGAGAGAGACACGCACCCTGAGAACGAAGAGAATCTACATTGGATGGAGTTAGCATGGGAGGATCCATTGTTTAAAGTCAGTTATACCCAAATATTCGGAGCTAATTTGTATGTCGTGGACATAACCCAAAAGCCTCCGTCCAAAGAAGGTGCGAGAAATATCGACTTTGAAATTGTATATCCTATATACCATGGATTGAATGACATTATTGAATTAGCCAAACCTTCTAAAACATCTCAGATGAAAATCAAAGTCTCTTCCAGAGAACATTGGGAGGTCGTCTATACGTGCGATTTCCGAGTAGATCAGTGATCTTATAACAAAATGGATGAAATCATGGACGGGTTAGCGGATCAGCTTAGTATGAAACAAAACTTAAATGGAGGTCTGCTCTTACAGTTGTCTTTTCAATGAGTACGACGCAGTCAAAGTTTGCAAAATAAAACGTTTAAGTGTGTGGAAAAAATTTGCAACTAGAAATTTCTTAAGTGTGCAACTAACAACGTGTCTGAAGGCCGCAAGGTCGCTAAGAAAAAAATCTTAAGGCCCCAAGGCCCCTACAAGGCCCCTACAAGGCCCCTCAGACCACCAAGGCCCCTCACATCACCAAGGCCCCTAAGGCCCCTAACGTCCCTCACATTTTTTCATGGTTCTAAAATCTATAAATAGACCATGTTAGTCATCACATTCATTTGTGTTAAGACTTTATTGGGTCAAGATGCCTTACAGTCACAGACGTGTGTGTCGTACCTGTGGAAAACAGGATTTACTAAAGCTAAGTGAACACTTACGTCAAGTTCATCATTTATCTTGTGATGAACGACAAATGTACTTGAAGAACGCCACATTTACACAAACCTTCTCGCCATTTCTTAATGCTTCAACGTGTATGGAAACCGAACCTTACCCCGAGTTTAAGTTTCAACACCCTGCATCAATGATGGTAGTTGGACCTACTCAAAGTGGGAAATCCTATTTTGTGGAGCAATTGCTTTCAAGCAAACTTTTCATATACCCTAGTAGGAAAACCAAACGTATTCAATGGTTTTACACCCAGTGGCAACCCTGTATGAACGCATACAGTCGAGACTTGGAAAAAGTATTACGTTTACCCAAGGGTTACCGAACGTAAACGACAATTTAGAAGACATCAATGATAAGGTTCATAACCTATGGGTGTTGGATGACTTGATGGATGAAGCCGTGCAAAAGTCAATCATATCTCAACTGTTTACTCGTGGCCGTCATCGTAATTTAAGTGTGATATTGTTGTTGCAAAAAAATATGTTTCCCAAGGGAAAATTTAACACAAGCATTTCACGAAACGCTCAATACATGGTTTATTTCGCAGCCCAAGTGATCGGAAGCAAATGGATATT